CCTTAGAGTCTTTTTGTTTCTTTTTGGTTTTGGGCCACATCTAACTGCACTCAGGGAGCACTCCTAGTCGGGTTTAGGGTGGCAGGGAGCATCAGACTCTGGGCAGCAGCATGCACTGCACTGCCTTCACCCGGCCCGGCTGTCTCTCCAACCCCATCTTATATTCTTGTTTAACTACACTGACTTGTTAAATAACCAAATTATTTAATTTGATTGAACTAAAGAGTGTTTTGGGATCCCCCCCCACCACCACCTATTGTTCGAGGTAGCAGGAAGTTGTACATTGTACACATTGTCTTTCTTTTTTCTTTTTTTAGTGTTTTAAAGTAACCTATCCAGAAATGTCAACAACAACAAAAACCTGTCATTTTAGGGCGCAGTTCCAGGTTGCATCTTGGGTACTCAGGACTGTTGCTTCTGGGTAGAGGGGCCATGGGAGAGGAGGTGGGAATTAGGGTAGGAGATCCAGGAACCCCGGGAGCGGGGCAGCGGTCAGGGCTGCTCAGCCGGGCATGACCTGGGCCAAGCTGGATCTTGGAATTTGGTTTCTTCTGTGAAGCATACTTTGCGTTTACTTGTTTTTGTTTGTTTATAACCTGTTTTGAAATGATTGTAGATTTCCCCAGTGGGCGCGTAGACATGCTGGGAAATCAGGGCTCCTGTCCCCATGCTCTTGCGGTGGTAGTATCCGGCGTAAACTAGAGTTCGAGTCAGCCCTAGGAAAGAGAGGGCGATAAAGTCATGAAGCATCTTCAGATTTCACTACTTCAAACGCACTCTTTGTATGTGTGTCTGTGTGTATGTTTCTGTACGCTTCATCGTGTGTGGTTTTGGGGGCCACACCAGCAGTGCTCAGGGCTAATTCCTGGCTCTGCGCTCAGGAAGCAGTCGTGATGGAACTCGGGACCAGATGGGGTGCCGGGAGGGCATCCTCCCCGCTATAGCGTCATTCTGGCTCCACATCCTCTGCAGTTTCATGGAACCACTGTCATTCTCCTCCAGGTCCCTGTCTGTACCACTTCCGGGGGATCACTTCTCCCACCCCTTTCTAGCAATGCCAAGCTTGTTCTCATCCCTGAACCAGGACAACCAGACGCTAGTCCCCATCTCTAGTTTGGTTGTTTCAAGGATGTTGTATTTGTGAGCTCATGCAGTACAGAATCTTTTAGGGTGAATTGCCTTTTCCCCTTCACTTTCATTCCCAAGTGTCAGATTTAGTAGTTCGTTCCTCCTTATAGCTGAGTGGTAATCCATGGTTTGATTGTGCTTCAGTTTGTTTAACCCACTTAATCCATTGAAAGTCATCTGGGTTGCTTCCAGCTTGGGACTATTAGAAACCGAAGGAATATAAATATTCATGTTCAAATTACTGTGTGAAAATAAGTTTTCTTTTTTAAAAAAATGAATGCCCAAGAATGTGATTATTGGGCTGTAATGTGAATCCATTTACTAAATTTATTCTCCGGTTCCCTTGGCAGATGGTTCTGGTAATCTGTTTATAGAATCAATAGTATGTGTAATCTCTACAGAAAAGCACTTTTAGTCATTTTACAGTCTGTGACATAAAAAAAAAAGGTGCCTTTGAATATGGGCATATGAAATGTGGGGGAAAGTTACAAGAAGCAACACTTTTTCCTCAGCTGTTTGCGAAATGTTCTTTGCTTACCAGCAAGAAAGAACAACTGCCACATCTTCCATTCATAGCAGCAGTATCAGAAATAAGTGAAGACTGTCATCAAGGTGATTTCTGAAAATATTAACAAAATGACCCCAAGAAGAGTTGGTAATAGTTACCTAAAATATGAAGAAAATCATTTTTTTTTCCTAGTCATTGTTTTAGCCTCATTTCTTCTTGGTATAAGGAACAGATTTTTTTTCATCATACATTAAACTATTTCAAAATGTAAAGAATATGAAAATCCATAGTCTGCATCTTTTTATAAGAAATAATCACCCTCGGGGCTGGAACAATAGCATAGCGGGTAGGGCGTTTGCCTTGCATGCAGCCAACCCGAGTTCGATTCCCAGCATCCCATATGGTCCCCCGAGCACCACCAGGAGTAATTCCTGAGTGCAGAGCCAGGAACAACTCCTGTGCATCACCAGGTGCGACCCATAAAGCAAAAAAAAAAAAAAAAAAAAATCCACCCAGAGGCAGCTCAGGAAAGAAAATCATAATTTTGCTAATGAATGGAAATTCCTTTAAGGTAAGCCGAGTCAGCTTTTACTCAGCAGCTACATGGGGGATTGTCTGTCTCGGTGGCTCATCTGCACTGCCAAACAGTGCCCAGGGCAGGTGGATGGTGCACTCAGCACTGGGGACATTGATGCCTCTGATTCCTCTCCATGAGGAATGCTTCCTGCGCATTCTTGAACAGCCTTTATGTAGGCATATGTTTTCTTCGCTCCCAGAGCACAGAACTGCAAGTTTCCGTGGCAGTTGACAGTGCAGCCAAGGTTTCCATGGCACTGGAGGGAGTGTGAGGGAGTGTGGGCGGCCGGGAGTGGCCAGCCTGAGCTGCCGTGAGAGCCGGCGTGGACTTGGTATCTGCATTGGCTGATGGTGTGTTGACTGTCCACTCTTCTCTGTCTTTTCTTTAAAAAGTATAATCTTAGGCACTACGGTTGGCCGTCCTGCTAGTTTTTTTTTTTCCTGTTGTTGCTCTTGTGTGGATGGTTGGGGCGGGGGGTGGGGGGGCATCCCCAGTGGTGCTTGGGGGCTGCTCCTGGCTCTGTGCTCAGGCCTCCAGCATGAAAGCATGCTTTCAGCCTATTGAGCGATGTTTCTCTTCAGCCCCTTTTCTCTTTGAGGGGCTCTTGGTTCTCTTTGAGAATATAATCCTGTGTCTTTCAGAGGCTCTTGGAACTTCTTTAATTTATGCTTAACCCTTCCCTTTTGGAGACCACTCATTGTGCCCAGACACTGATCTCTTACAGGAGAGGAATAAACAGACCATGATAAGCTAGATTGTGAGCCTGTTGCTGGGGGCGCCTGTCTACTTGTGTGCGTCACTGTGTGCTGTTCCTGGCTGTACCCCACCCTGCAGGATATAACAGCTCAGAGAGAGAAATCTGTCTTTGATCGTAGAGCTTATGTCTAGAGATTTTGGACCAGATCCCCTAACTTCAGGGCTGGAACCTATAAGTACAAGAGCCTCCATCTTTCCTCTTGAAAGTGCTGACCTAATAAACCCCTTCAAACTGTTCTGGCGCATCAGTTAATTTCTGGATTCATACCTGGGCATTTCTACCCAGTGACCTCCCCCTCCCCTTCCCTGGTCGCCCTGTCCAAGCGTCTCAGGGTCTTCTCACTTTGTCGATGAACCTAGGGCTGCACTTCCTGGATGCCAGTGATGTGGGACACCAGGGATTGAACCCAGGCCCCACACGTGTCCTCCAGGGCTCTCCTGATGAACCATGTTGTAGCGTCCTGTCCAGTGTGACTCATGGTCCGTATTGCTCTGGGAAGTCTTTGTATTGTTGCACATGCCAAGATCAGGTCACTCTTGGAGAAAACCGTGACTGCCCAGTGGGCCTCCTCCACTGCCTTTCAGAGGGTTTCACAGGTGAAACCAGCTTCCCTGAAAGTACTGACACGCTTTGTGTTTTTTGGTTTTGTGTGTTATTGTACTCTCATTCTCTTATGAGTACTATAGTGTTTTTCAGATGTTATTTTATGTGTATTATCACAACATATCAAATGCAGCAGATACTTGAACCTATTAATTGTTTGTTAAACTCTCTAGTTCAAAGAAATTTGCAAAGATGTCACTCTTCTCACTAAAGTGTTTTGTTAGAAATATTATTTCTTAGCTCTTTTCTTGGGAGGGAGCTGTGCATTGCGCCTGGGTATGCTCAGGGCTTCCTCCTGGCTCTGTGCTCAGGATTCACTCCTGGCTATGGGCATCATAGGTGCTGCCAGGGGCCGAGCCCATTGGGCGACACACAAGACATGCACCCTACTCCTGTACTGTTGCTCCAGCCCCCAAAATAGAAGTTTTGTGTTGAAAGTTAGTCATATATGTAGAAGGCTGTTCTTTTTATTATTAGATGGATGGGTAGTCATTTCTCCTTTTTTTTTTTTAGCTTCCATCACAGATAATAAATACAAATCATCTAAGCAGAAGCTCTTCGGGCCCTTTATGTTTTAGTTGTAGACGGGTTTCTCTGGCTGAGATTATTGAGGCTCTCCAGGCTAGGGACAGTTTAGAAAGGCAGTTGGGAACAGAGTGAGGAAATCTTGGGCAGCTGAGTAACTTGAAAAGGACACTGAGGGGCTGGAGAGATAGCACAGCAGGTAAGGCATTTGCCTTGCACGCGGCCAACCCAGGTTTGATTCCCAGCATCCCATATGGTTTCCTGAGCACTGCCAGGAGTAACCCCTGTGCATCGCCGGGTGTGATACAAAAAGCAAAAAAGAAAAAAAGAAAAAAAAAAAAGAAAAGGACACTGAGGAGGCTGGAGCCACAGTACAGTGGGTCAGGCTCTTGCCAGGTTGGGTCCCCAGCATCCCATAGGGTCCCCTGAGTCCAGCAGGAGTCATTCCTGAGCATGGAGCCAGGAGCCAGCCCTAAGTATTGCCAGGTGTGACCAAAAGACAACAAAGAGGAAAGGCAGGACACTGAGGGGCAGGCGACCCCTGCTCCCTGTGGGTTCCCCGGACATGAACGCCTTCAGGACAGGGCAGCAGCAGAGGTGGTGGCTGTGTGCGGTGGGGCATTTGGGAGAATGTGTCTAGGCAAAGCTGGGAATCCGCCAGGACTGTTTCGTCCACTTCTGGAAAAACCTGGCGGCCCTCCCTGCCCAGCTGCAGGGCCCTCAGCCCAAAGGAGAAGGCCACCTGGTCACTTTTACCAAAGCAGGCTCTGCTCTCCCTGCGGTGTGCTGTGCTGGGGACAGCTGCATGGGGCTCTGCACTGGGGACTCAGACCGCGCGGCTGGGCAGCCGGAGTGAAGCTGCGCCTCCTCCCTCTGACCTGCTCCCTGTTTTCCTCTTGCAGGCGAAAGGGTGTGTGGTTCCGGCTGAGGAAGATCCTTCTCTTTGTTTTGGGCTTGTACATTGCCATTCCATTTCTCATCAAACTATGTCCTGGGATACAAGCCAAATTGATTTTCTTGAATTTTGGTAAGTGCTTTGTCCTCAATTTTTTTCCTTTGATTTTATTTAAGCGTTCATATTCGCAGTGTTTCCTATGTTGATATCCTCAGATCCAGAAATGGACCCTTTCTGCTACCCAGAACTTTTCTTGTGCCGCTTCCCAGCGCAGGGTGTGTGTAAGGACGGTGATATTCATTTGTCAGTGCAGGTGACCACTGGATCGCTGCCGGTCTTTCTGTGTCTGAGTTTCACTGGAAACGCTAACGGCATGGAGAGTTTTGGCAAGCTGTCAAGTTCAAGGCCCTTTATGCAGTCTTCGCCGGCTGTCCTGGAAGAGATGGTCCCTGAGAAACAGCAACTGGACTGGGGTTCGGGTGCAAGTGGCAGAGCCCGTGCCAGGGTTGATCCCAGCAGATACCACACCTCACTCCCCTGCTGCCACCAGCACCAGTTCCCAGGTCACAGGCCTATACACAGGCCGAGCATTGCCAGGAGCGACTCCACACCTGGGTCCCTTTGGGGCGGCCCCTAGTGGGAAGAGATCAGGCCTTTCTTTGTGTATGTGGGGGCAGGGGTGGAGGGGGTTCCCAGGGCCCCAGCCGGGCTCTGGGCTGAGTTGAAGCAAGTTACTCCCTCAGAACAGTAGACTCTGGTGTTCTGTGGGGGCTCCTGGCACTGGGACCCGAGTTCAGGCCTCATGGCAAGTCAAATGCTCCACCTCCGCCTTAGCTGCTCGGCCTCTTTTCCTGAAAAAAATTCAAACTTTTTTCCCTAGGAAAGCTGGTCCACGCTGGCTCCTGAGGACTGACATGCTAGCTTTGCGGGGCTGCAGTCTTCTTAAATATCCAGGTTATTCTTGATTTGTTTTTCACACTGGTTTTTTTTTTTTTTTTTCCCCACTTTGGGGCAAAGCGAAGGACACAGATGCAGGTGCACCACACCAAGAGACAGAGGGCTGGGCTCCCAGCAGGGCCTGCTCTCATGCCATGGGAGGCTGGGGGAGCAGGGCTGCAGCGATAGAACAGGGGGTAGGGCCAGCCCGGGTCAGTCCCTGAGCACTGCGGAGAGTAACTCCTGAGAACGGAGCCAGGAGTGACTCATTGAGCATTGCAAGGTGTGGCCCCCAAAACAAAAACAACCAACACCAAAGAGCTAGAGAAAGGAAGGGGCCAGGGCTGCAGGTGAGACACTGGGACAGGACGTGGGGCTGGCACGTGGCAGGTGCACTGAGCTGGGTGAGATGCGCTCTGTGGTGTGTTGATTGCCTGACCCTCAACGCCCTGGGGAGCTGAACGCGCAGGCTGCAGGCCGATAGGGCTGAGGCCTTAGGACGGGGGTGGAGAGGGGGGCGATGGCTGTGCCAGGCCAGATCAGAGGAGACGTGGGTGACGCCTTGACAGGGCTCCAGCCCTGTGCGTATGGTCCACGGGTGCTCCGGATCCTGAGGGCTTCTGGCATACAAGTTTCAGTTATTTAGTCTGTAATAGACTCACTTGTAGAAACTTGAAATCACTGACTAAAAAGGTGTTTCTGTTCAAAAGAGGAACGGTAAGAAGAGGAACAGAAACGGTAAGGTCAATAATTATACTTTGTAGATCCAAAATACGTTTTTTATTTGGATATCTTAAGATAGGTGTAAAATACAGCATACTAAATGGCACTTGGGTTTTCGAAATGGAATTGTAGCTGAGCTCCTAAATTAAGGGGATTTTGTTTTTCTGACAATGGGTAAAGAGAGAAGTGTGCTAAGAACCACAAGCCAGAAGAGCCAGGGTCTGGAGTGATTAATACAGCAGATAGGGCATTGCCTTGCATGTGGCCCATCCAGATTCAGTCCTTGGCATGAAGGGAGTGATTCCTGATCACTGAGCCAGGAGTAAGCCTTAGCACCTCTGGTGTAACTCAAAAAGCTGGAAAAAAAGAAAAGAAAAGAAAAGAACCAGGAGACTCAGAGTTCAAACAAACAAACAAACAAAATCCAACCACTGGGACACATTTGCTTAAAATGCCAGAACTAAAAGATAAGAGTAGAACCCTACAACGAGCAAGAGAAGAGTCACACGGAGAGGAGCTCCAATGAGAGTCAACAGCAGCTTTCTCGGTTGAAACTGACCTGACCCAACCACAGTGCTGTGGGCAGATAGCACTTGAATCAAGAGTGAATTAATTCCAATCAAGAGTTGAATGGACTAATTCTCAGTGAAGATGGGAGGGTCGCATAGGTCGGGGAAGGGAACCACAATGACAGTGACAGAGGGAAGTGGTCACTCTGGACCAGGACTAGGTGCCGAAAGGAGGCAAAGTGATGTGCATGAGACCCTCTCGGTACCAGTATTATAAAACACAGCACGTGCACGGGCAGGGAGGCAAAGGGGCAGCCAGGGAGGAAGTTGGCGTCAGGAGTGGAGGGGACGGGCCTGCTGGAGGGAGCTGGTGCTGGCACATGAATGACTCTGTGCTTTGTAATTCACTGACACTCAGTTTTCAAAAGAGATTAAAAAAAAATCAGGGCATTTAAGAGAAGGCAGCGGTGGGTGCCCACCTGTACCAGGGGCTTTCTGACACACTGGTTTGGGTGGTCGTCGGGGGTGCTTTCCGGCTGTGGTCTTGGTCTGTGCTCGTAGCTTCAGGCTTACCCAGGGCTTGCCGTGTCCACTGCCCAGGCTGCAGTCACGGTCTGACAGGGCTCTGGTGCTGCAGCTGCCCATGGAGGCTGCGGGAACAGCACTGCCGGGTTGCTGTGCCCTGGCATTTGGGGCCACTTAGCCCAGTAGTGGCCACTTGGGTCCTCGGGGCTGGGCGGGGACTGCCACTCGCTGTGTGGGTGGCTTAGAGGTGCATATCTGGGCAGGGCATGTTCCTTCCCTCTTTCTCGCCATTGTTTCTGAAACACAGACAAAAGGGAACAAGATATGTTCCTGGTAAGAGACTGGCCTCCAGTAGATTCTGGATCTCATTCTCTGCACTCTTGACCTTGCAGGTTTTCTAGACTAACTGCTGGGTTTTGGTTTTTGGTTTTTGGTTTGGGTTTGTTGTTGTTTTTTTTTTTTCTTTTTGGGGTTTGTTTCCTTTTTTTCTTTTTTTTTGCGGGGGGGGGAGGTGTCACACCTAGCAATGCTCAAGGGTTACTTCTGGTTTTGCACTCAGGAATTACTACTGATGGTGCTTTGGGGGCCATATGGGATGCAGGGATCAAACCTGAGTTGGCCGCATGCAAGGCAAACGCCCTACCCGCTGTGCTATCTCTCCAGCCCCTGTTCAGCATGGTTGTCTTGAGGACGTCATGCCACCTCACCCTTGTCAGAGGGTACCTAGCACAAGAAGTTGCACCCTGAGCTTCCACACCAAGGAACAGCCACAGGTTCAAGGTCCCAGTGGCAGCATCTGCCTCAGAAACAGCCTCTGGTCAGAGGCCCTCACCGGAGCCAGCCAGGCCAGCAGCCAGGGCAAAGCCTGAGCTGCGCAGGGTGACCCTGTTCATTCCCCGGGTGGCCGCAGCAGACAGCACTCACTGGGAGGGTGGGACAGCAAACTTTGTCCCCCGGCCTGTGGGCCGTGAACCTGAGACCTGGGAGTGGGAGCCCTCAGCCAGGGCTCTGTGCTGGTGGCTGTCACACTAGTCACCGTCTCTCCCGGCTCACAATCGTCCTTCCAGTGCCTTCATGTTGTCTTCCTCTGTTCCATGTGTGTCCGGAGCAGAGGCGTGTCCCAGGCAGGGATCTGAACCCTTGCTTTTCCAGCACAGGCCAGGAGTTCCAGTCCCAGTTTCTCAAATGCTTTGAGCGTGAGCCTGGAATCCCTCATCCGCCAGACAGCTGCCGGGTGCCCCTGCAGACTCCTGCTCTTTGCAGCTGCAGAAAATGATTCCATGGAGTGGGCTCAGAGTGAAAGTGATGGACACATCCCATGGCTGATCAGGGTCCCCGCCTCTTTGGGTCAGATACCACCTTGTGTCATCCACCCTGGGTTACCTCATTAAAAATAAAAAAAAAAGACCCACTAAGGGCTTGTGTTTTGACATGCTGGGGGTCAGTTTTCGGGGGAAAGACATTCTGAGCCAGCCTCAGAGTAGTGCCATTTCCCGTCTCTTCCCTCCTTGTCTCCTTTGCTGACAGACTGGGGGAGCCCTAGCTCACTCTCTCTCAAGAAGGTAGGGTTAGAGAGAGGTGAGACACCACCTCCCTCCAAGGCCGTTTTCTCTTGAGATGTATTTGTCGGGGTCCTATCCACAGGTGCTCAGAGGGCCAGGGCCCAGGTCTAGGCCCATGCCTGGGGAGCTCAGGGTCCCCGAAGCCAGGTGTGTGACAGTTTCATGGGGAAGGGATGGGCAAGACAGCAGGAAGAAGCGGAGCTGTCCCTAAATGGCCTGGAGCTTTGGGGGCATATGCATGTGTCCCTAGGCCCCTGAACGGGACAGATCATTCACTCTGCAGTCAGAGCTCGTGGGCCCCAGGGGCATCCAAGGACATTGTATTTGTGGGGAGAGTCTGAGGGGTGGGCAGCTGGTGCGGGGGTCCCAGGCAGGGTTGCCAGGGCAGGGGACCAGTGTAGGAAACCCATTAGGTTCTCTTGCTCTGAGCATGCAGATGCTGCGCTCCCTGGCAGAGAGCTGGAAGCAGGCCGAACTTCCCCACGGCCACTGGTAGCCTGGAACATGGTCTGTCCTTTGTCCCTGCCCCCAGGAATAGCCATCCTGCCCCCTGGCAGTGACCGTCCTGTCCCTGGGAGTGGCTGTTCTGTCAAGTGCGTGAAACCCACTGGAGGTTTTGGGGGTTTTCCCAGCGTTCCATTTTATTTTATTTATTTTTTGCTTTTTGGGTCACATCTGGCGATGCACAGGGGTTACTCCTGGCTCTGCACTCAGGAGTTACTCCTGGCGGTGCTCAGGGGACCATATGGAATGCTGGGAATCGAACCTGTATCGGCCACGTGTAAGGCAAACGCTCTACCTGCTGTGCTATCTCTCCAGCCCCCAGCATTCCATTTTATAATTAAAGGTAAAGGTAAAGGCCCTCCCGTTGATCGTCGATTTGCTCGAGCGGGCCCAGTAACGTCTCCATTGTTGTTACTGTGTCTGGCATATCGAATACTCTCGGTAGCTTGCCGGGCTCTCCGAGAGGGGCGGAGGAATCGAACTCGGGTCGGCCATGTTGGCCGCTTGTAAGGCGAACGCCCTACCCGCTGTGCTATCATTAAATATATTTTAAAATTTTGTCCACCATAAGCAGTAAAAGTACATACGCTGTACTTTTACAAGGGAGAAATAAGTACTTTCACACACTCTAAACCCACGTTAACAGCCTGTAATGTCTGTTTGTCTCTCCTTTTTAAGGAAAAAAAAATTTTTTTTTTTGGTTTTGGGGCTACACCTGGTGGTGCTTAGAAGCTGTTCCTGACTCACTGTTCAGAGACCCTTCTGGTGGTACATATGGGGTGTGCAGGAGGGGACAGGTGGAGTCAGGATGACCCTCTCCGTCTGAGGGGCACTTTCAGGGCTCACCTGTACTTCTCTCTAAACTAAGATGGATGTTACCTGGGAAACTCTCTCCCTGCCTTGCCTCCTCCCTGGAAGTACTAGTGCTAGTGGGATCCTCAGGGGGGACTGTCAGGATCTCTCCATCTCGTGGGCTGGAGGGACAGTACAGTGGCAGCTGGAAGGGCATTTGCGGGGTTTAGTCACCAGCACTCTGTAAGATCCCCGGGCATTGTCCAGGAGTAAGCCCTGAACACAGCCAGGTGTGACCCCAAAATAAAACAGAGCTTGACACTGCCTCAACCCTGGGAGAGTTCTAGGACTCATCTCCCTGTTCGCACACCTCAGTTCCCACCTTGGCTGGCCGCACTAGGAGCGTCAGGATCCCGATGAACTGACTCCGCAACCCTGGTCCTGCGGCCTGAGTCCCCATCTGTCACTTTGCCATTGCTGAGCTGTCTCACCCACCCAACTGCCACCGCATCTGCAGCCCTGTCTGTGCCTCGCCCACATGGCCTCACAGTGGAGGCTGTGGGGTGCGTGCGGGGCTCCCCCACGCCATGCGGCCCGGAGGCAGCAGCTCGACAGCGTCACCTGGGCTTCGTTCCCACGCGTACCAATCCCCTCTGCCTCTCTGTCCCCACAGTGCGGGTTCCCTACTTCATCGACTTGAAAAACCCACAGGATCAGGGTCTGAATCACACCTGTAATTACTACCTCCAGCCAGAAGACGACGTGACCATTGGCGTGTGGTGAGTGTCCGGCTGGCCGTGTGGCCAAAGGCCCAGACTACCCTTGACCGGAGCGTCTCCAGCCTTTGCGTGTCTATCTTTGTCCTCACTCACTCGGCTTCCAGAGGACAGATCTCAGCTAAATTTGACCGTAATGCACTAGGAAGAGAGGGCGCCAAATTCATTTGGAGGTTTTCCGGCAACCAAGCCTTTGTGAGCCAGATTGGTTCTGCTTTTGTTTTGTTTTACAGAGAGCCGTATTTCTCTCAACACACCACCGCCCCTAGAATTTTAAGAACAGATGCACAGTGAATCTTTCCAGACACGTGACGTTAGGGACCAGGAATGTAGCTCAGTACAGAGCAGGTGACTTGCATGCGTGAAGTTCTTAGTTAAATTTCTAGCAATGCAAAATAATAATAAAAATTAAAATAATAAATGTCTAGATAGCACTTTTAGCAGTCAGTAATACTGGTGTTTGCTATCTTCCTAGCATTTATTTTTTAGCCATAAACATAGGTTGCTTTTTTTTTTTCTTTCTGGGTCACACCCAAAGATGCACAGAGGTTACTCCTGGCTCTGTACTCAGGAATCACTCCTGGCGCTGCTCAGGGGACCTGGGATGCTGGGAATCGAACCCATGTTGGCCGCTTAAATGCCCTACCCGATACCTGGTGCTATCGCTCCAGCCCCTAAATTGCTCTTTTGCCTCATGACTTTGTTGTGACTCCTTGGAATATGTTTTAATGCTTTTTTTTTCTTTATTCCCTGTGCACAAGAGCGTGTGGAATACCCGTATGAAAATTTATCTAAATTTCTGTAGAATTTTCTTTTCTCTTTTTGCAGAAGCAAATCTAAACCACTGCCTCTTACCTCCTTGGGTTTCTCCTACAATAGTCACATGGTCTCCACTGTCTGGGGGTCTTGTGAGGGGCCATGTGTGGGTGAGTTTCTCGGGAGACGCAGAGAGTCCTTTCCCCAGCAGATTGCCCTGGTGTGAAGGAATTCCTAGTAACGGAGCTGGGTGAAGATGGTGAAATGAGGATGGAGTGTTTAGCTTTCAGGTGTTGGTGCTGGGATTAGTCTTTTGTTGGTGCCCAGTTGGATTTAATCTTGCCATTACCGACCCAGATGTGCAGGCAACATTTCGTCTTCAACATCTTCAGCCAGAAACTTGGTGCTTTTTCCTGAATGCTGTTTGGTGGCCTGTCTTGTCTCTGTTGTCTGGTTCCAACCTGCTCTCTCCTCCTGTGGCCAGTCCTACTGAGGGGGTGTTTGCAGCCTGATACTGAAACTGCAGGCTCTCTCAGAAGTGCCTGGGAAAGTTGTATTCAGTAACAGTGAAGTGGCAGTCACACCGTGCTCATGGGTGCTGCCTGCAACCCCGGATCCCCACTGTCATGACCAGCACGTGGGCCAGGCTGGACGCTGACCCTGACCCCTCCTCCGGCCACAGCAGGAGGAAACTTGGGTTTGTGCTTGGCGTTGGTGTGTCTCAGCCTAACACATGTTCTCATCAGTAAGGAGAATCCAGGAATAGGGCCCTTCCCCTTACTGGGCGTTTCCTGTGCCAGGACAGGACATTCTCACCTTGGGATTGTCTAGCTGGAATCCCAGTCAAAAGTCTCTTCTTCCCAGTGGGAGGTGAAATCTCCACTCAGTGCTTTCTTTGCCTGCCCCCTCCCCAGCAGCTGGAGTCTCTGGCTCCATCCCTCCAATACGGGCCTTCTGTTCCAAAGGCTTGTGATCAGAAGACAGATTCCTGTAGCCTCCCAGAATGTGCTCGTCTCCGCAGTCAGAGAGAAGGTAGAGATGAAACGTGGCACTCAGGAGCCAGAACATGGGACCTGGAGTCGGAGAGCTGGCGGAGGGCTCAGGCCCTTGCCTCGCGTGCGGCCCACTGCCATAAGCCCCAGGGTCACATTTGTCCCCCAAGTAGAGCAGGGACTGGTCTCTGAGTACTGCCACTTGTGGCTCCACAAAACAAGAAATTGGCCATTTAGTACTTTTCAAAACTTCTTGTTGATGAAGGTGAACCACTTATAGGAAACCCTTGTTAAGTGGCCGTGCCCCATCATGCAGGATGTGTCCCACTGAGCCTTCTGGGGGGGGGGGGGGGGAAGGCTGGCCGGGGAGGCTGGATCTGCCTCCAGGCCGGAAGGGTGGGCCTGCAGAGTGGGCTGGCCACTCCGAGCGCCTCAGCCGCATAACTGGCTGCTGAGGGGACGCACGGACAGGGCTGAGTGTGGACAGATGGACAGACTCTGCTGTGGCAGGAGCGCAGGGTCGCCGGCCCACGGCAGGGGTCAGCTGCGCCGTGACGCATCGTCCCGCACTGTTGGACCACTGGGAAGGCGTCGGGACCCTCCCAGAGCCACGCTCCCCTCAGCTCCGGCTCACGTATCCCTGCTCCTCCCAGGCATACCGTTCCTGCCGCCTGGTGGAAGAACGCGCAGGGCAAGGGCCAGCTGTGGTACGAGGACGCCCTGGCCTCCAGCCACGCCATCATCCTCTACCTGCACGGCAACGCAGGGACCAGGTGAGGTGCAGGCAAGCGCTGACACGTGAAGTGGTGGGGTGGGGGCAGGGCAGCCTTCGGGGCAAGGCGGGGGTGCGGGACTGCCGGGCTCAGGGTGTGGGGGGGGGGGGAGCCATGTGCAGAGCCCGCCCTGCTGGGGGCTGGTGAAGGAGGAAACCAGCATCTGGGCTGTTGCTGGGCCCCACTCCTGACCATGAGAAGGGCCCAGGGTTCTGGTCAGGGTTGCTCCTTAGGGCTCCTTGTCCTCACATGCCTTGGAGTACCCCAAGGCCCAGCTGAGGAACTGATTTGGGGGCATGGCTCCCTTGGTCCCTTGAGGGTCCTGTGGCAGTGTAGGTCCTCAGTACGCCCGGAAAGTTGTCGGCTGTCCCTCCCAGCCTGGGCTCACGGTGGGGGGATCGACACTTTCTTGTTGGAAGTGTCAAGAAGGAACAGTGACCCAGGAGCTGGACGGGGGTGGTGGACGGAGGCCAGCCTGGAGGGGCCTGTGTGTGCTCTGCCCCCGCCAGCCTTCTTCTGGTGCAGGGGGTCAGGCCCTTGTCAGGGTCACCCTGTCTCTTGGGACCATGCCGCATGGCATGTCCCCTCACAACCTTGAGGCCAGCCTTCCCTGCAGCCACCATGCTGGCTGCGAGAGTGTGGTGGGACACACGCTGGCCAGGCAGCGGCAGTCAGGGTGTCCCGAGAGAGCATGGACCCTTGATGGGCAGGGCCAGCGGAGAGCTGGACAGGCAGTCGGAGCTTGGCCTCAGGCCCATGAGCCCCGCGCGAGCCTCACAGTTCGGTCTGTCTGGGCCCAGCCACAGTGGCTTTTCTCTTCTGCATCTCAAAGAACAAATGGCTACAAATAGCTCTTTGAACGTTTCCCATGAAGGAGAAGCCTGTGGTTCACTGTGAATCAGGTTCAGTTAGTCTGTGCAGTCCCATGATGAGACAGCTGCTGCTCCTCATCCCCAGCTCCCCAGCCCCTTCTCACCGCCCGGACAGAGGCCCTGCAGCACGAGCCCCCAGCACCAGCCCCTGCTCAGGTGCCACACTCTAAACACCTCTCTCCTCTCAGGGTAGGGAATGCGGGAAAAAATGTAAGAGTACCGTACATTCCGTCTCAGATCACAACACTTTGCAGCTTTTCCTTCTGGTCCTGCGAGCCCCTGCTTTGTGGTTTTGTTTGTGTAATATTTTTTTTTTGTGGCTTTTTGGGTCACACCCGGTGATGCACAGGGGTTACTCCTGGCTCTGCAACTCAGGAATTACCCCTGGCGGTCGCTCAGGGGACCATATGGGATGCTGGGAATCGAACCTGAGTTGGCCATATGCAAGGCAAACGCCCTACCCACTGTGCGATCTCTCCAGCCCCCTTGTGTATTTCACAGCTTTCAAACAAGACTACATGCAGCGCACATGCATACACACACACACACACACACATGCACATGCATAAGACACTCTCATCCTCAGTGGCCAAAATGCTTGTTCTAAGAGAGAGAAGCACTGGGGAGCCTGGCCAGGGTCAGCCCGTCTCACACAGGCCTCAGTGACGGCTGACAGGGGTAGGCATGGGGCCTGTCCAGCCTCACTCCTAGATGTGCCCAATGCCTCAGCCTGTGATGCCTGGAAGACACTGAGCCACACACCTGATGAAAGGTGAGGCCCTGTGGAGAGGCTTCCCACGCGTCACGAGTTTGCTGCTGGGCCTGGACGGCAGTGCGAGGCGGGGCACGTGGGCTCGACCCCCAGCCCCGCAGCCGGGCCCCGCGTGGTCTCCCAGGCCTCCCCGGCCTGCGCTGCAGGGACTGTCCCCACCCAGAAAACGCTCAGCAGCCCCTGCGGGAAACACCCTCCCACAGCACAGGTCGGTGAAAGCATGCTGCCCCAGGCGGGCCACAGCAACAGAACCTGAGCTGGCAGCCGCTGGTAGAATGGAAAAGAGGTGCTGATGGGACAGCGGCCCATGCAGATTGCGACCTTCGGCCTGTGTCCATGCAGAGGTCCAGCCCGGCTGCGGCCCGAGGGAGCTGCATGTCAGGCGGCTGGACTCTGGGCACCTCCTGGTGACAGCGGGGCGCGAGGCAATGCTTCGGAAGGGCCCGAGAGCAGACACTGCTGGCCCGCGCCTGCCGTGCTGCCTGGGGCTGCCCCAGGAGAGGCTTCTCTCCGCGGGCTTACCCAGTGGCTCAGCCAGTGCTGACTCTGTTCCTTTTCCTTCCCCAGAGGAGGCGACCACCGGGTGGAGCTTTACAAGGTGGGTAAGGCTGCACCCTGACTGCCCCTCCCAGGGGCCTGAGCTTCCCTGGGTGCTAGGCTGGGCCGGGCTGGGGCAGTCGGGATTGTTTTCCCATGTTGCGTGTGCTCGTGGAGACCGATGATCAGGAGCTGCAGGGGCTGCTGACATGCGGGACAGGGTTCGGCCAGTGCAGCCGTCTCTGGTCCTCCCCGCTGGACAGCCCAGGCCAGGGTTGAGCCGGTTCTGGCAGACCCCCTGTAGCGGGACTGCAGGAAGGCATGAGCCCCCACCTTTGCTCCTTGGGGCAACTCGCTCCAGGGGCACGTGGCACTGTAGACGCCCCAACACGGACACAGACCCTCAGGAGAGACTTGGGGGATTGTCCCTGGCAGGTGCTGTGAGGAGAGGCCTAGTGAGGTCCAGACGGTTCCAACAGCCGAAACCTCTGAGAATGCTGGGGCTGAAGAGACCCCGCCATGGGGAGGGCCCTGGCCTCTCCTGCTGCCCACCCAGGCCCATCCCGGGTACTGCCAGGATTCACACCTGAGCACAGTCCTCCCCCAAAGAATTGGAGGCGTGTTGGTCTATGGGAGGACCCTTGAAGAGGCCCCTGTTCTGGGAGCCTCTCCTGGGCCTCGGGCGGTGGAGTGAGAGGCAGAAGGAACCTGCCACATTCCCGAGGCGGCAGTCGGCAGTGGGTTCATTGGGTGGGTGTCCACTGAAATGAGGCCAGGGCCGTGGGGTGGGGTGGGGTGGGGTGGGAGGTGCCAAGGCCACCGTGTGTCTCTCCCTGCAGGTGCTGAGCTCCCTGGGCTTCCACGTGGTCACCTTTGACTACAGAGGTGAGGCACATGTTGGGGCTGTGGGGGCCTGAGAAGGGGTGGCCCAGCGGGGTGCAGGCACTGGGCTGGCCTCCCGGCCGCACAGCATCACAGGCAGAAAGTCTCTCTCTTCTCCGAAGCCACTTTCTCCGTGGGGCACGACCGACGCTGGGCTAGCAGAGCTGACCTGACTATGCTAGGGAAGCAGGGAGAGCAGAGATTCTCCTCGCTCCTCCACTCAGGAGAATATCGATTCCTCTTGCCTTGCAGGTCTCTCTCTCCTCCCTCCCTCCTTCTCTCCCTCTCTCCTTTCTCCTCCCTCCCTCTCTCCCTTTCTCCCTCTCTCCCTCTCTCTCTCTCTCTCTCCTCTCTCCTCTCCTCTCTCTCCTCTCTGTCTCTCTCTCTCTCACCTCTTTTTATGTAGGGGTACTGCTATTTATTCAGCTGTTAAATAAGCTGATTGAATTGGGCATGAACTCCACATTACTTTTTTTTTTTTAATTTCCTACCACCATCCCCCAAAACCCACCCCCCACCCCCAGCCTCCTTCTATGGGAGACACTTTCCTTCTTGCTCTATTTCCTTTTGTGCATTATGGTTTACAATACAGGTGCTAAGAGGTCATGGTGTTTGTTCAGGGCATTCAGTATTTTTATTGGGACGATAAGTCTGGAGTCTGTCTGTCTGTCCTCCCGTTGTTCATCGATTTGCTCAAGCGGGCCCAGTAACGTCTCCATTGTGAGACTTCTTGTTACTGTGTTTGGCATATTGAATACTCTCGGTAGCTTGCCAGGCTCTCCGAGAGGGGCGGAGGAATCAAACCCGGCTTGGCCGGGCTGGCTGTGGGCAAGGCAAACACCCTACCACTGTGTTATCACTCCAGCCCAAGTCTGGAGTAGCCTTTTTTTTTTTTTTTTTTTTTTTTTTGCTTTTTGGGTCACACCTGGCGATGCACAGGGGTTACTCCCGGCGGTGCTCAGGGGACCATATGGGATGCTGGAAATCGAACCCAGGTCGGCCGTGTGCAAGGCAAACGCCCTACCCGCTGTGCTATCTCTCCAGCCCCGGAGTAGCTTTTAAATTTGGGTGGCAGTTTTGGGGTGTGGATGTGATTGCCGAGGCTTCCGAAAGTGCAGGGAAGTGCAGGGGTAACTCCCAACTCTGAGAAAACCTGGAGATTTCAGTCACAAAACCTGTGTATCAGAGATATCACAGCAATTTTGAATTGTGGAAGCAAGCAGCTGCTGGGGGCTCTGCTTGGGTGGGCCCTTGGCCAACCCACTCCCCTCTGATTTACCTGTTCGGCCGTGCATGGGTCCGAGATTAACTGCAGTTTTTGATCTCTTTCGAGGTTTATTTATGGGTCTCTGAAATAAGGCCAATAATGAGCTTGTATAGCTGAGCCGGAGATGGTTTGTGGGTGTGGCTCCCACATACCTAACTTTTGGCCGTTTAATTTCTTGATAAACTTGGTCCCGAGTTGTTGGAGTCTGGCCAAAGGCACAGTGGCAATTTTGGGGTATCAGGAAGTCTGAAGGCACCATCAGGCTGCTGATACACTCACCTCGCAAGTACAGGCTGATCTGCTGGTGGCACCATACACCTGAGGACTTTGTTTCTCTTGAATGAAGCCGAGGACTTGCCCCCAACCAGTTCAGATCCCACAGCTGGTATTGCTGAGACACTCCACCTTGATGAGAAGACTGGCACTTTGTACTAACAGAGACCAACTGTCCCCTCTGCCAGCTCCTAGGTGCTAGGCTGTGCAGCTGACATGCCAGCCTCCAGGTGGCGTTGCTGTGTCGTACCCTCAGACCCAGGGTACCGGGGTACCATCATTTCCATTTGTTTGTTGTAAGAAAAAGTGTACCAATAGCACAGATTGATTCTGTGTTTCATTTCTCAGCCAATGGGCCAGAATTCTGGGGTTGGCAGGGCTGTTCCCCCAGAGTCTGGCTGGGAAATCTCTCCCCCTCCTGCTCAAGGCTGCCTGGGGCAGCACCTTCCTGACGCCAACCTTGCAGGCCCAGGGATCCTCGGGGGAGGAGGGGTCGCCCCCCAGAGCAGCTGATTAGCACGCACACGTACACACACACACACACACACACACACACACACACACACACACATTCCCACTTCCAGGAGGAGGATGTGACCCTCTACCATGGTTCTCAGAGGCCTGTTTCAGTGGGATGAGTGCTCTGGGCTGGAAGACAACTCTGTCGTGAAGCCCTGGGGTTGCTGGAGCGGCTCCTGTGCCCCCTCAGGACAGCCGCGGGGCCACCTTCTTGCTCGCTCACCATCTGTGTTTCTGACAGGAGTGAGATCCCATGTTGCTCTTCCTCTTTCCAGTTCTTGCCAAGTCTCTGGGCCTCTGGGCCTCGCAGGCGCAAGCATCCCGTACCCTCGCCTCTGTCTCCCCGGGCCCCTGGGCCTCCCCACCCTGTCCTTCCCACTTGGGGTGCCGTGACCATTCCAGGCAGTGGCCCTGGGCCACTCTCTGCAGCTTCTGCTTAGGCTGTGGCTTCAGCGTCCTGCAGCCGCTGGCATTTGCAGGCCAGTGATGGTGACCCACTGCCGAGTGGCTGGGAGTGGCCATCATCGCTGGGACCTTCCCTGGAGGCTGGGGAGGAGCCTGGGAAGGACGGAATCATGGGGTGGGGTGCAGAGAAGAGGCTCCTGCTCCTAAGAGCCCCGGGCCTTTCTGGTCAGCACTGTGCCACCCTCCCGCTCCCCATTGCGCAGAACTTCTGACTCCCTGGTCCTTAGCTGGGCTACAGCTGGGCAGTGGGTCAGCGTCACACTCAAGCTGGGAATGACCTCGCCACTCTGCATGGGTGCCCTGGGTGCTAGGGAGGTGGGCGTCTGTGCCGTTGCTTGCATCTGGCTGTAACTAGGCGCGAGGTCAGTCAGAGGCCCAGCTGTCCACAGACCGGGCCTGACCTTCTCCTGCTCTGTCCCGGCCAGGCTGGGGTGACTCGGTGGGGACGCCATCGGAGCCGGCCATGACCTACGACGCGCTGCACGTGTTTGATTGGATCAAGGCCAGAAGCGGCGACAACCCGGTGTACATCTGGGGCCACTCCTTAGGCACTGGGTAAGCCAGCGGGGACACAGCATGTGCTGAGCCCCCGCCCACCCCTGGCCCTGCGGGGCTCACCCAGTCCCCACATCTGCCAGACAGAAGTTGCCGAGCCCGCTCTGGGGAAGCCGGGTCACATGTGCTGAGCATGGCCGAGTATTCCCAAGGGCACCCAGCAGGGCCCGGCCCTGTCTGCTGGAGTCTTCCCTTTCCTGTGCTCCTCAGCATGGGGCTTGTGCTCCTCCTGCGACTCGCTCCTCACCTGGCCGCTCGCCACCATTGGGTGGGACCCTCGGCAACCCAAGTCTGCAGCAGGGGCCGAGCACCCTCCTGGCCTGGCAGTCAGGAGCAGACCCTGCCCCCTGCTGGCACTGCCATGGGGAGGCCGACTGCAGGCACCTCAGCTCTGGCCCCTGCAGCCCGTGAGGGGACAGGAATGCCCCAGGCACGCAGCAGTGGGTCCCCGCAGACGCTTCCTGCCAACAGGGACAGCTGGGCCCTCCTGTGTTTGCCCTCCTCAAACCCCAGTCCCCTCTGTAGGTCACTGCTTGCCTTCTTTGGTCACTCCCCGCGTTAGAACAGCCTCATGGGAAGCAAAGGTGTCGTCATGCAACTGAACTTACTTTTTCTGTCTTCCCAGAGTAGCGACGAATCTGGTGCGGCGCCTGTGTGAGCGAGGTAGGGCCCGCGGGGTCATGAGCCCTGGTGCTTGCTAGAGGTGGTCTGGGGGCAGGTGAGAGGTGCCCGAGCGAGCAGCAGTCACAGTATCGGGTGTCCTCTGAGACCTGGGCAGGCTCCCCGGGGCACTTCCACCTGCTGAGCTTGGGGAGGCCTGGAGGCAGCTCCCCTGTGTGGGGCCCCCCACAGACCTCCTTGTGGCTGGGGTGCATGCTTCCTTGTCATTCCCTGTTCGTTGAATTTCCTGCTTGTCTCTGTCTCCCCAGAGACCCCTCCTGATGCCCTCATATTGGAGTCACCGTTCACCAATATCCGTGAAGAAGCCAAGAGCCATCCGTTCTCAGTGGCAAGTGCAGAGCTCACGGCTCATTCCTGCTACCGCAGGAATCGCTGTGACAATACAGAATCTTTATATTGGGTTGGGAGCGGAGCTCATGCCTGGTGTGTCCAAGGCCCCAAATTCTGTACCTAGCACCACCAGAGGGCAGACCCACGCCAGCCCCTTGGGGCAGCATTGTGGGGGTGTCCTCAGGAGCTCTCTCCCCTCCGCACTGCTGGTGCGGCCCCTCAGAAGGGGAGAGAGCACGATTGTCGGGCAGTGAGCTGAGACTTGTTTGGAGACAGTAAACAGCAGGCTTCATTAAAAGGAGTCCTGTTTGGTTCTGGACAGTGACTGGGCGACAGAGCTGCCCAGGAAGAAGCCGGGACCCCCAGAGGCCTGGACCTGGGACTCAGTCCTGATGTCCCTGCTTCCCTGGGAGGGAGTGACTTCTGGGGACCACACGCTCCCCGGTGTGCTGAGGTGACACCCCCGTTGGCTGCTGCAGGATGAGCCAGCCCTCGTGAACTGGGGGAATCTTGACTCCCCCCTAGCTGTCTCAAAGTGCCCCAGGGAAGGGCTGAGTGTGTCCCAGGCTTCCTCCTCAGGTGGGGTGAGGGTGCTCCCCCTCACCCTTCTCGTCTGCCCCTCAGGCCGGCTAATCACTGCTCCTTTCCGTGTTCTTACAGATCTATCGCTACTTCCCTGGGTTTGACTGGTTTTTCCTTGACCCCATTACGAGCAGTGGAATCAAATTTGCAAACGATGAAAAGTGAGTACACCAGGAGAGTGTCTTTCAGCCTCCAGAAGCATCTTTTGCCAAGCAGGATGGAACCTGCATACTCAGGTCTTTTCCAGGCAGGACAAAGGGGAACCAAGTGCGGCCCCTGGGGAAGGCATCCTGCGCGATGGAAACCCCTTTTCCCCCTGGAGCTAGATTTGCGGAGAACTTCCAGGTGGAGGCAGGACTCCTGTGCAGGCGTGTGGGAGGGAGGAATCGCCCAGTGAGCTGACGCGGGCTTGCTGTGCCCGAGGTGCGGCTGCTCCCTCACAGGGACCCCAGCACTGTCCGATGTGGCCCCCAGAACTACCCCGCCCCCCAGAAAAAGGTAAAAGACTTCTCGCCTCAGCACCGTGTTGTGGTGGGGGTTATTTTGATGACAGAAAGATGTTGTAAAGTTCACAGTGAAAATATTTATTGTAGGTAAACCAATTTTTAAATACTAGTTAGGGTATCCTCCTATTTTTGTTTGGAATGGAAATCTCCTCCCCTAATATCCTATAAGCAGGTTTAAAATAAAACTGCTTGTTTATAAACATTAGAATTTATGTCAGCAAATTTTCTTCTGAAAGCAAGCTGGCAGTGGAGGGTTGGGCCTCCTGGGCCGGCTCGGGGTGGGGTCAGCAGCAGCCAAGGAGCCCAGGACCGAGATGGGCAGTCTGAGTGTCTGGGAGCAGAACCCGTGATGGGGTGAGTGTCTCGCAGATAAGCCAGGCCGCCCTTGACTGCGCTCAGAGGGCCCCAGCTCTGCCCCGTCAGCCCTGCCCAGAGCTCGGCAGGACACTCTGTCCCAGCATCTGTGGAAGGCTTCCCAGGGGTGCCACGCCGGAGGCTGGTGGCCCCTTGGAGCTGGCGGCCTTGCTCGGCGCTGACCCCAGCCAGGCTGTGGCACCCATGGGCCTCTGGCGTGCCGTGCGGAGTGTATTGATCACCAAGATCATCATTCCATTGGAAAATGCTGTTTCTGTCGTTTAAAGAACATGTCTCATGGGCAGTAAAACGGGAGGGGGGCAGTGCTTATTTGAAAAGCTTTTTTCTGTTGTTTTTCTGTCCTTTAAAAAAAAAAAAGATACTTTTTAACATCCAGAAAAATATGTTGGAACAAGACTGGGTGAAGGGATTGATGCTCTGTTTGGTGGGTGCCCGTCCCCTAGAAGGGGTGTGTAACTGAGAAGGCTGAGGAATGAGCCTTCCCTGACATGGCCAGGCTGTGGGCCGGGCCTGCTCTGAGCACTTTCCCTCTGCAGCGTGAAGCACATCTCCTGCTCCTTGCTCATCCTGCACGCCGAGGACGACCCCGTGGTGCCCTTCCAGCTGGGCAGAAAGGTGCGTGTCCCAGCAGCAACAGCAGCTCGCCACGGGAGGGTCCCAAACTGGGGCTGGGCCTGACAGCCCCCTGGAAAGGCCCTGGAGTGATGCTGACTCAGCATCAGCAGCAGGGCAGACTGGCCTGCAGGTGTGAGCCACTGGGAGCTCGAGGGCCCCGCCACGCTGCTGGGGGTCAGGCCCTCCCTCAGGCACTGCGTGTATGCGTGCGTGCGTGCGTGCGTGCGTGCGTGCGTGCGTGCATGTGTGTGTCGGGAGCCCAGCTGATACTGGGGGCTCACGAGCCACTCCTTTCTTCCCAGCTCTACAACATTGCTGCACCCTCTAGAAGCTTCCGGGACTTCAAGGTTCAGTTCATTCCTTTTCACTCAGACCTTGGCTACAGGCACAAGTACATCTACAAGAGCCCCGAACTCCCACGGATACTGAGGTGAGGTCACTTCCCTGGCAATACCATCTTGCCCAGTGGGCTGCCGCAGGCCCCTGGGGCCTGCCTTCTCAGCTGATGTCCCCTTGCTGGGCGCCGCCTGGGCCTAGGGCCGGTCTGACTGTGAGGCAGGACAGATTAGCTCACACTTGAATGCTCCAGATCAGTCCAGTCAGAGTGCCTGGGGCGCCCACAGGCAGGGCACGCCCACCGCCTACTGGCAGCTCAGCTGCTGGGCAGGGAGCGCTGACCCCAAGGGCTGGGCATGGCTCTGTGGAGGCTGTGGCCCCTGCTGGCTGGCCCTGTCTCTGGGCGTGGGATGGAGCGGGCAGTGCCAGACTTGGGGTTTCTGCAGGCCTGGAGGGGTGAAGGGGGGGTTCGCTCTGGGCTCCAGGGTCCGACTCGCAGGTTCCTGTCCTGTGTTCCAGAGAATTCCTGGGAAAGTCAGAGTCGGAGCGCCAGCACTGAGGCACGTGAGGAGCATGAAGATCTCTGCCCCTGCCCCGCGACCCCCCTGGGCCTGGGCAGCGGGGTACAGGTCCTGGACGGCACGGAGGCTGTCGGGAAGGGCGGACGCCCGGCAGGCACGTGTGGCTTCCGGGCACACCCAGCACTGAGAGCTGGTCGTAGAGCGGACTCTGGTAGCCTGGCCAGCCTCCCTCCACCCTCGCCCACTTCCCTTCCTCAGCCCCTCCCTTGCAAACTCCGTCGCTCCCGAGGGTGCTGCGGCCTGCGCTTCCCTACCCCCGCGTCCGCTAACCTGCCTTAGACTGAACATTTATTTAAGAATAAAATCGTGGTGGTGGTCCCGTCGGTCCCGTCATGCGCACACCAGCACACCCTCTGGGGCTGGCACAAGGAAGGGTCTGTCTTAGGGGGAGGGCGTCGGGGGGACAGCTGCACCCCCAGGCCGGGCAGCTCCGTGGACGCCGCTGGCCCGGTCTGTCAGACCTACCGCCCACAGGTCTGCTCTGGTCTCCTGCCCTTGGAAGTGGGGAGGGGCTGTCTCAGGAGAGGGCTGTGGCAGGCTGGAGGCCCAGAAGCTGTGCAGATCAGCCCACTGGCCAGAGTACCTCCAGAGCACCTCGTAGCTAATGGTTTTCCTCCCTCTCCAGCTGGGCTAGAGATGGGGCAGCTCCTGGTGCCTGCAGTGTCTGCCTTTCTGCAACCTCAGGGAAGCTCACCCCTCAGCTTTCCTCCTGCTCGTTCAGCGCTCCCTTCCTCGACCCAGAACATTCTCTGGAAGGCTTTTGATTCTAGAGTCTGAGGTTTCTGCTTTCCCAGAAATTTTTATTTTGGTACCCCATAGAAGGCTGATGCTCTGTGGCAGATGGTAGGCTGGAGGTTTGGGTTTCAAACTGGGGGAGAAAAAAACATGCATGAGGACTGAAGTAGCCTGGGGTGTGGGAGACGCCTGCATCTCTGTCCGAGCCAGGGGCTTCTGCAGCCTCAGGCCTGAGCACGCACCACCTAGTGAGTTGGCTTTTGTGTTTTTCTAGAAGACTTTTGCCTGTGGGACGGAGGCTGAGTGGGAGCAGTCAGGACAATGTGGCCATCTGTCTGGCTGACCAAAGCCTCCTATGCGTCCAGCCCACCCCGACCGGCCAGTGTTTCCACTCATTGCCCTGGTCAGGCAGCCGGCCATGCCTGGCCCTTTGCTTTGTGGTCAGGCCTAGGCAGAAACAGGGCACTGGCCTTGCACACAGCTTACCAGGGTTCGATCCCAGGCACCACGCGGAGCCCCCGGAACCCCACCAGGAATGATCCTTCAGCACAGCCAGGGTCCCCAAGCAAACAAAACAGTAGTGAACAAGGGCCTGAGAGTAGTACAGGGAGAAGGCGCTTTCTTTGCATGCAGCGTCGGTTCAGTCCTGGCACTGGGAGTGATCCCAAACAGGCCCGGGGTAAGCCCCAAGCGCCAATGGGTGTGGTAACAGAACCAAACCACAGCCGCCGGGGACGAGCCCACAGCTCCGAACTGTGATTCTCTGTGTTTTGGGGGCAGGGCCAGACCCCTCACTCCCCCGATGAGGCACCAGTGACAGTGTGCACCCCCCCGGGGGCTCTCGGGTGCCCCTCACCCAGGCCAGCCTCAACACCACCAGCAGCCAGCAGAGCCCAGCCCCTTCCCTCTGGCCGGACCATATACGGGTCTGAGGACCAAGAGTGGCCAGGAGGAAACCAGTCCAAAGGCGACCCCTGAAAATGCCAGCACCCCCAGTCATGTCAGCAGGGGCACAGTGAGCCCACCATGCTCCCTCGGCGCATGGAGAGAAAGGCAGAGGCCAGGGGGCTGAGCACAGCGGGGAGTTTAATCCCTTCTTGGAGGCAGTGGCAGTAAGTGCACAGTGATGGTCTGTGGCCTGAGGAGCAGGGCAGAGGTGTGTCGGGCTGACGGCAGGGGCTTCCCATGGCTCCCAGATCTGTCCCCAGTCCGGCTGTGGGGAATCTCGGGGCCTTCCTCGGCTTCAGCCTCCTGGGCCAAGCAGTGCCCCTGGCCTGACCCCCAAGGCTGGGAAGACAGTCCAGCATCACAATCTTCCCCCTGACGCAAACCTTCCAAAGCACATCTTTTGCCATGATTTTTGAAGAAAAGGCTTCCTCTGGCTCATGTCCTGAGGTCAATACATTTGACAAGGCAAAACCCTCTGATCTGACTGCTTCATCTAGTCTACCCCCAGGGGTCAGCCTTGCTTGTTCTGGGCCCTCAGTCACTCTGGAGAGCCTGGGCAGAGTACGACAGACAGCCAGAGGACAGAGTGGGCCAGGGAGGACAAGAGGCCTCAGCAGCCAGGAGCAGCAGAAACACTCTGCCCTCGGTTTTGCCCCAGCACCCGACCCCAAAGGCAAGAAGGCCCACCCTCCCTTCCCCGCAGCACAGCCCGAACCCAAGCCCACAGGAAGGCAGCCGGACATGTGCAGAGCCAACTAGAGAACTGGGCAGCTAGTCCCTGGGGAGGTCTGGGGCTGGGATCTGCATGTCGGACGGTTCCACGCCCCAGATCTCTCGGGCATATTCAGAGATGGTGCGGTCACTAGAGAATTTGCCTGAGCAGGCGATGTTTTTGATGACCTTCCTTGTCCACTCCATGGGGTTCTAGAGGAAAGAGAGAGAGAGACTCGAACCTGAACAGACCCTGGAACTTCATAGACTTGGAGCCGTGGGTTCTGCTGATGGGAAGGGTCTACACACACACACCACAGCTCCCCCAGCGGGAGCACCACCCTGATTTAGCTGCTCACCCAAAGCCTCACTCGTGGGACCTGTGGGCGCTTCTGTCCAGGTGGCAAGAGAACATGCAAACCCTCCTTTCGGGAAGGAGGAAAATCAGCTGCTGAAGCTATGCCCCTTTGCCAGCGCCTCTCCTGGTGTGACCTTCCTGGGCCTCCCAGGAAGAGCCCAGAGGGAAATAGGGCGGGTCACCCCTCACTTCCGGGGCGGGGGGGGGTGGGTGGGAGGAGGCACAAGAGGACCCAGATGCTGCCACACAACCCCTGGGAGCACCACCAGCCCAGCTCCCTGCCCCAGGAGATGCCACCACACACTCAACTCTGTGTGCAGACCCTCTTCACAGGAAGATTCTGGCCACTCACCAGGCCCATTATTCTCACTCCTCAGGGGAACCCACTCCCCGGAACCCCCGAATCCTGAGCCCTGCTGGCCCTCAGGCAGAGTCCCATGTCCCTGCCTGTGCGAGAGCAGGGGAGAGCAGGGGCCCCAGGCGGATGCAGGCAGAGCAGCACCAAACAGCACAAGCCCGACTCTCTCTCTCTCTCTCTCTCTCTCTCTCTCTCTCTCTCTCTCTCTCTCTCTCACACACACACACACACACACACACACACTAGTGCATACACGTCACACACAGCCCACTGTCCTGAGGACCTTACCTGGTACAGCTGGTCCACCTGGGCCTGGCATGCCATGTACGCTTCATAATCTGCAAATACCTTGAACCTGCAATGTGAGGCAGGAAGATGGTGCCATGAACAGGGCAGCAGCCGAGGCCAGAAGCCTGCCCTGGGGCGGAAGTGATAGCACAGCAGGGAGAGCATTTGCCTTGCATGTGGCTGACCCAAGTTCGATCCCCAGCATCCCATATGGTCCCCCCAGCATCGCCAGGAGTTAATTCCTGAGTGCAGAGCCAGGAGTAACCCCTGAGCATCATCGGGTATGACCCAAAAAGGAAAAAAAAAATGCGCTTGCTGAGCCGCAGGCTCTGAGCTAGCGCCTGTCCTAGTGACCCTAGCCCCAGAAGAAAATGTCGCCCCAAGGTTCTTGCAGGAAACCAGGGCTTGTGACGGCCTGACGCATGTACAGGGTGGAGCCCAGGCTGCTTCCTGCCCATCTCCCCTCCAGCAGGCAGGCACTGGCCAGGTTCGACCTGCCACGCAGCCTCAGGCCTCCCAAGGCTGAGAGCTCGAGGAGGGCAGGGGTCTCTGCACATCCGCCACTTTGGACCCAACAGAGGCCGAACAAATACAGAAGCGCTTTTCCGGATCAAACGAGTGAGATAAAGCTCTTCCTGGGTCACAGAGCTCAGCTCCGGACGTTTGTGCCCACGGGCATGGAGCTACAAGCCTGTGTGGAGTTAGGAGTGCGTGTGTATGTGTGTGGAGTTAGGAGTTTGCACGTGTGTATGCTTGTGTATGTGGCATTGTTGAGGGGATGTGTGAGAGCTGGTGGGAAGCAGCTTTCTGCAATGCCAAGATGCCACAGCCAGGGCCGGGGTGGGGGCACTGGGCTGCGGACAGAGACCCCTGAGTTTGTCCTCGGCCGCCTCTTGCTTCCTGAGCACACCAGGCCGAGTCTCACCAGGAGTGGCCCCTGAGCACGGCCTAGGGGCCTCCCCAGCACCCCCACCCCGCCCAAATTGGAAAAACTGACCAGAGGAAAGTACCGTGGTCCAAAGTAGGCCAAAACAACTGGTGCTGGGCAGATGTGCTGGGCCTTCGGGCTGCCCTTCCTCCAAGAGGGCAAAAAAACCCCAAGGATGCCTGGTGCAAAGGTCCCCTGCACCTCCTGCCAGTGCTGCACCCCCAGACCCTTTGCCCAGCTCCCACCCGAGTTCCCACTGACCCCTGGGAAAAGGGCTGAAGGGCCGCCTGCACCCAACCTCACCCACCTCCCACACACCCCCTGGCGGCAGTCGGCGGGGGCCCACCTGTCATGGTGCAGCAGCATGTCCACAACACCCCTGAAGCAGCCAGGGTCTGCGGGGGAGAAGCAGCCCCCACCGATCTGGTCCACGGCCTGCCTGAGCTCCGGCAGGCGCTCGTAGTACTCCCGGGCGTTGTACCTGCAGGACAGGGTGTGGGTCCCCAGCAGCCACTGGCCTCGTCTCTGCCTACTCCCTGCTCTGCCCCAGGCCTCCCCCCAGAACAGGACGGCTGTGGTCTGCAGGGGTGGGGTGGGGCGGGCTGAGACAGCATGGGGAGAGAAGGGTGTGGGGGCGGTGCTGGGACTGGACTTGGCCCAGGGTGCAGTTCCAGTCCTGAAGTGATGGCTGGGTGCGAGGCCTCCCCATTCCGCCCCAGCTGGTGCAGTTGGCCGCCAGCATCTTTTCAATCTGGACTTAGAATGGGCTGTGCCCTCGGGTGTGCCACGAGGAGCCAGTGAGAAAGTGTCAGAGTAGAGGAGGAGGCAAGACCGGGCTGAGTACGGGCAGCACTGGGCAGGGCCTGGGGCAGAAAGGGGTGACCATCGGCTGCTAACAGAAGCAACACGGAGACCTGGACAAGGCGCCCCCCAGCATGCTCCACCCCTGAGGCTCACACATGAACCCAGAGCAAGCCCAACACAGCTTCCTGCAGAAGCAGGCCAGGGACAGGGCAGCAGGTGGGCCAGCGCCCTCCCTGACTCACGGAGACCAAGTCTCCTGGGCCAGCAAAAATGCTGAGCACAGCCCCCAGTGACGGCAAGCACGCACCCTCTCCGGTCCAGCTCCCCAACCTCCTCCACCCGCAGGCCAAAGATGAAGAGGTTGTCCAGGCCAGCCTCCTCGGCCATCTCCACGTTGGCCCCATCCATGGTGCCAATGGTCAGGGCCCCGTTGAGCATGAACTTCATGTTGCCGGTGCCTGAGGCCTCGGTGCCCGCGGTGGAGATCTGCTGCGACAGATCGGCCGCGGGGATCACTGTGGGGCACAGGGAGCGCAGGCGGGTCACCGAAGGCACTGCCGACCCGGTGCTGTGCCCCCCCCCCCCAACAGGCCCAGAAGCTCCTGGCCAGTCTGGCCACCACAGCCCGGGCACCAGAGGCAGGCAGGAAAGCAAGAAGGGTGCTGGCTGGGGGAGAGGCAGCGCCCGGGAGTGCAGTCTGGGTGGGGTGGGGCGAGGACACGGGGGCACCCCCCAGGAGCAGAGGGGCAGAGAGGCCAGTGGAGATGGGAAAGGTGAGAGAGGGAGCCCCGACCCCTTGGTACCCGCGAGCTGGGGCCCTTCGTCTCACTGCAGCACCTTTCTCGGCCAGCGACACTCGGTAGTTCTCTAGGAAGATCACTTTGAGCCGGTCGCCCACGACGGGGTCATGGTTAACAATATCACTGATGGAGGTGACCAGCTTGATGATCATCTTGGCCATGTGGTAGCCGGGGGCTGCCTGGGTAGGGCCATGAGGGGTCTCAGACAGGCGCTACTCCATTCCCAAGCATGCTGCAGGGTATACGAGCACTGCGGCCAGCCCAGCCCTGCCCCAGTGATGCTGCCGCCGCCCATGCCACATGCCAAGTGGGCAGCTCACCTTGCCCCCGATCATGACGGTCCGGGGCACGAAGGCCTTGGTCGGCTCCTGCTTGATTCCTGCAGCACAAGCAAAAGAACAAGTGCGCTCGGACACGCTGCGCCCGGCTCCTAGGGGGGACCGCTGGCATACACTACGTTCCAGAACAGCCCACGCTAAGGGCAGGGAGGGGGCGAGGAGCACCCCTGCCTGAGCCACGGCCCATCCGTCCTACGGGACCACCGGGTTCCTGGCACCAGGCTGCGCTGTGTGCCAGGGGGGCCCACAGGAACCAGAAATGGTGCCAGTGTGGGGCACAGGCCAGGACAAGGTTGGCGAAAGGGCCAAAGGCAGCTCCTTCTAGACACCACACAGCCGCGAGGACTAGGCCAGAACAAACATGCAGGGGCTGTGAAGGAGAATCCGGTGCTCAGGGACTCAGACCCAGGCGGCAGGGAAGGGGCGGGAAGGGGAGGGGGCGGATCCCACCAGCATCTCGACAGGGAGCCATGCAAGTGAAGAGCACCTCGGGCCTGAGCTGGGGCCCGGCCGCCCTAGGTCAGGAGGAGCTGGGGGACTCGGAAGAGGGATGGGGATGGTGGCTGCTCCCTCGAGCTCAAGCAGGAGCCCCAGATGTGCCACAGCAGAGGGGCTCTGCCTGAGGCGGGCTAGAGGTCTGGGCTGGAACCGGGATGCCAGCATGGGAGAAATGAAAGATGCCCCTTGTGGAGTGGGCATGGCGTGCCGCCCACCGCTGCCAGGTTCCCTCAGCCCCAAATGGGAAGAAGCTCAGGCCAGGGAGAGCCCAGAAAAGGGACCAAGGTCCTGAGGGGGTGGGGAGGGAACGGGCGGGCAGGGCCGCTGAGAAGCACCATGGCAGAGGGCAGTGCCGCCCACAACAACTGGGGTCCCTGAGCAACATCAGACAGGAACAAAGCCTGTTTCAGACGTGCTCCTGAGGGTTTCAGACAGGCACTTCCTCTGGGGGGCGCCACAGGCGCCTGAAACAGTCTGAGGGGCAGACCCTCCCATGAGACAGAGGGCCGTCTGGGAGCGGCCGGCAGGAAGGAGCAGCTGGGCATGAGGGCCGCAGGCTCCACCTGCTCAGGTGCTGCAGCCAGTCCAGGCGTCACCTCCTGCCTCCTGGCCCAGAGAGCCGCTGCCACTCTCTGCACTGGCTGTGCAGGCCAGCTGGGGAGCAAAGGCGCTGCCCGGAGCACGACATCCACGGAGCAGACTCACGGCTGTACACTGATGGGGGCCGTGGGGGCTTGGGCACTCACGGTTGTACAGTGTGATGATGTGCAGGCAGTTCAGCAGCTGCCTCTTGTACTCGTGGATCCTCTTCACGTGGACGTCGAACATGGAGGCAGGGTTGACCTTCACCCCGTACTCCTTCTCCAGGAAGGCGGAGAACTTCAGCTTGTTCTCCTGCAGCAGGAAAGAGCCAGGAGGCAGGTGGCCTCGGGGAGGGCCACGGGGGTGGGGGGGCATCTGACAAGCAGCCAGGCGAGAGGCTCCCAGGAGGAAGGTCCCAAGGCCTGAGGAACATGGGAGATTGGGGGGCGTGAGGGCCCACAGAGGCGGCTGTGTGAGGAGGGCACGAAGGACCCGCAAATGGAGAGGCGAACACGGTGTCCACGGGAGAAAGGCGGCATGAGCAAACGGGAGGCTGAGGGCTGGTCAGGAGTGGAGTGTGGGAGACCCAGGGGCTGCTGGCTTCAGAGCTTTGCGGCTGCACACTGGGGGGGGGCCTTGTCCCCCTGGGCTCACCCTCGGGGCTGCAATGGGCAGGTGCCTCGGGGGGCCTCACCTGCTTGACTCTGGCCACGGCCCTGACGAAGGCCTCATCGCTGACCAGTGGCAGCAATCTCCTCAGCTGGCTCAGGTCCGTCAGGAAGCCGTCCCCAATCCTCTGGGGAAGCGGGAAGGGGTCTGTCTGCCTCGCCCCGACACCTCAGCTGCCCCCCACTCTCCCCGCGCCCAGACACAGCCCCTGCACACCTCTGCTTCCCAGCCCCATTGCAGGCCCCACCCGGCCTCCCACCCCCACCGGGCTGGGAGCGCAGGGCCCCTGAGTACTGCAGGAGCAGCCAGCACAGTTCCGCACTCCCCTCCGCCCCCACCCAAACAGCAGCAATGCCCAAGTCCCCAGAGCTAATGTGGGATCAAGAGAAAAAGTCCTGGGGCCAGAGGTTCACTCCATGGCTTGGAGGCCAGCCACACATGCTAGGGGAAAAGGCAGATCAGATAGAGAAGGGAGCACCAAATAAAGGGTGTTGGGAGGATCCTCCCAGGATGGGAGATGCATACTGAAAGTAGACTATAGACCGAACATGACTGCCACTCAATACCTCTTTTGCAAACCACAACACCCAAAAGAGAGAGAAAACAAAAGGGAATGCCCTGCCACAGAGGCAGGGTGGGATGAGGGGATGGGGGGTAGGAGGGATACTGGGATTAGTGGTGGTGGAGAATGGGCACTGGTAGAGGGATGGGTACTCGATCATTGTATAATTGAAACCCAAGCACAAAAATTTGTAAGTCTACAACTGTACCTCATGGTGTTTCACTACTAAAATTAAAAAAAAAAGTCCTGGGGCCAGAGCAACAGTCCAGCAGGAGGGTGTTTGCCTTGCACGTGGCCAACCTGGCATCCCATAGGGTTCCCCAAGCACTGCCAGGAGTTATTCCTGAGCACAGAGCCAGGAGTCAGCCCCGAGAACTGCCAGATGTGGGCCTAAATAAATAAGTGAAAGGAGAAAAAGTCCTAGGCACCAGAGTGATGTACAGTGGAGAAGCATTTGCTGCGGACACAGTCCACCGAGGCTCGCTTCCTGACACCCACAAACGGTCCCCAGAGTCCCTCCAGGAGTGATCTCTGAGCACCACGAGGCTGACCCAAAAATTGAACCCCCCCAAAAAGGGGGGGTAGTGGAGAGGGGAAGGAGAGGGGAGAGAAAGAGAGCATTAAAGGGAGAGGGAGGGATGGAGGGAAAGAGGGAGAGAGAAAAAGGGAGAGAGGGGGAGAGAGAGAGGAGGTAAGGGGGAGAGGGAGGGAGGGAGGGAGAATGAGAGGAGGGAGGGAGAATGAGAGAGGAGGGAGAGAGGGAGATAGGGAGAGAGGGGGGAAGGGACGTGAGAGAGAAGGAGAGGGGGTGAGAGGGAGAGTCCTGCCGCTAATACCCCCTGCCTGCCCTGCCACACCTGCATGAGCCTGTGACCCAGGACCGAGGGGGGCCCGGGGCCTCACCTCCATGATGGTCTCGGCCAGTCCTGGGTTACACAGCAGCAGCCAGCGCCGCGGGGTGATGCCGTTCGTCTTGTTCTGGAACTTCTCCGGCTCCAGCTCATGGAAATCCTTGAAGCTACAAGTACAGGACAGGCTGTGACCTGGGCCAGGCCAGCCCAGACGCGCCTCTGTCCACTGCTGGCTCTTCTGAGTATCACCCGGGCTGCGCCCAGCGGTGCCCAGGGCTCAGGGAAGCACAGCAGGCATCAGACCACGCGGACCAGCCTCGGTTTCATGTCTGTGAAATGGGACAGCGACCACCCACCCAGGCCAGTTGCAGACACGGACCCAGGCCAGGAAGGGCGACTCGAGCCGCGTCCCCACACCCCTGCGCGCAGAGAGGAACAGACCACTCACACCGACTGCTTCACGATGTCCGAGTGCAGCCGTGCCACGCCGTTGACGGCGTGTGAGCCGAGCACGCACAGGTGGGCCATGTTGACGCGCTTGCAGGTGCCCTCCTCGATGAGAGACATCCGCCGCAGGCGCGCCACGTCCCCGGGGAAAAGGGCGGCCACATGCTGTGGGCAAGAGGGACCTGGCTGACATGGGCCAGGTCCAGCTGCAGCCGGAGAACCAACCCTCACGGCAAGCATGTACCCCCGAGACCCCCCTAACCCTACACCCAGCACCCCCAAGAACCCCCACCCAACCTGTCTGGAAGGCCCTGACAGCCCCTGGACCCCCGAGCTACTCTGAGGGGGGGCCACAGTGGGCGGGCCCCGTCACCATTGAGCTCGGCGGCCCCCACCTCCCGGTACTTGATTTGGTCTGGGGTCACCCAGCTGTGCTTGGGGTTTGCTTTCAGAGCTTGGGGACCCTTTTAGGTGAAGCCTGCTACACCCCCTCTCCAGTGCCCCAGTCCTTAGCCCCCACCCGGCCTCAGTGGGGAACAAAGGAAAGATAACCCCATCACACACACAAAATGGAGCCATGGTGCCCGAGGCCATCTCTGAGGCCTCTGGGGGAACATGCTGGAAGCTCCTGACTCCAGCTCCACATACAGGGAGGTTGGGAGGGGCCCCTGGCCCCCGCTCCCCCCAGCACTGTGGGCTCACATCCAGGTGCCTCTGGTTGAGGGCGTAGATGATCTCCAGGTGCCGCGGCAGCAGGTCCTCCAACATGGACACGGGCCAGCGCTCCAAGGCCTCCGGCAGCACGGTGTGGTTGGTATATGCACACGTCTTCTTTGTGATCTCCCAGGCCTGGAACATTCCAGAACATTCCGGTGTAAGTTGTTTAGGAACAAGCAGCTCTTGTGCCAGGGTCCAACTCTGAGGGGGTGTCTAGGGCCAGAGACAGGCGCTCCGATCCCACAGGAGGGGTGGGCCAGCATCAGTAGCAGCTCCTCACTGTCCTGGCACCACCTCCCAGCGCCCACCTAGGCAAGGGACACCTGTACCGAGCGCCCCTTCTCTTAATGATGTTCAGAGTAGCTGACTTGACAAACCGATGCTCATAGGGTTTCCTAGGCCTCTCTTTTTTCTTTTCTCATGTAGACCATTTTTCATTAGTGCAGAGCACTGAGCAGTTTTCTGTCTTGTTCCCACCAGTCTGTCCAGAGAGCCATTGTGCTTCCTGGCCCCGCTGGGGGCGGGTCACGGCTACACGGTCATTGGACCAGGCCGAATTGGGAAAAGCCCATAAGCTCTAGAGCGCAGGGCCCATTGGAGCCAACTCTGCCAGCACGTCTATTCATAGGCCGTGGTTCCTCTCGGCAGAATGTTTCGGCTGCTCTGGCCCACCCGAGGCAGAGACACGTCTATAGAAGACTCTGAGATGTGCCAGGAGGTAGAAGACTCTGAGATGTGCCAGGAGGCTCGACCTGTGGGCCCCGCTGCCCGCCTGGGAAGACCCCACCACACCCTGGGGGCTCTGCGGGCCGGCCCGCCTCTCCTGCAGGGCCACCCACTCAGACCCGGGCAGCAGAAGGAAGACACAAGGGCCTGTATGACCCGGGCTAGGATCACCCTGTGCCCCTGTCTTAAATGCTCACCTTGTCCCAGTCCACTTTCTCCACGTCCACCAGGATCCGCATGAGCTCAGGGATGGCGAGGGCCGGGTGGGTGTCATTCAGCTGGATGGCAACCTGCAGTTCACACAGGTGCTTCAGTCTCCTTGCTGGAGGGCAGCACGCCCAGACCAGGTCCCCACCCACAGACCATGCAGGCCTCTCCTCAGCGACAGCCAAATGTGGTAGGAGCAAGTATGCTCCGGCATAACATTCTAAACAGGTACGCTCTGTGCCAGCTGCACCCTGTGACAGGTGTGCTGAACAGGTGTGCTTGGGAGCAGGAGGGCTCTGTAGAAATGTGCTCCGAGCAGGTGTGCTCTGCACCAGGTATGCTCTGAGCAGGTGTGATCTGAGGTGTATCCCGAGCAGGTGTGCTCTACCCCAAGTGTGCTATGAGCAGGTATGCTCTGAGCAGGTGTGCACTGAGCAAGTGTGAGCAGGTGTGCACTGAGCAGGTGTGAACAAGTGTGCTGAGTAGGTGTGCACTGAGCAGGTGTGCTCCAAACAGGTGTGCGCTAAGGAGGTCTGATCAGGTGTGCTCTGAGCAGGTGTGCGCTGAGTAGGTGTGCGCTGAGCAGGTGTGTGCTAAGCAGGTGTGCTCTGAGTGGTGTGCTCTTGACAGGCACTTCCCGGTTGCAGGCAGTGCAAGACAGCAATCTGTCTGCCTAGAAAGGGTCTCTGCGGGGTTGGCGGTTCTCTCTGACTCACCATGACCCCTTCACCTGGCTGTGTTACTCACTGAAAATCAGAGACTGTCTCCAGTGTCCCCAACATACTTGATCCCCATGAGGTAGGGGCACCCTGGCAGAGCAGGGCCAGGCCAACCTGCCCAGGCCCGTGCCAAGCTCGAACAGGAAACCTAGCCACAATGCCCCATTTCCCCGCTCTTGGTCCAGTCCTCCTGTCTGACCCCTACCTTGTCCGGGAATGTCTCGAAGCAGGTTCGCACTGGATCCCGGCAGCCAAACTTGGAGGACTTAAAGCGGCGGATGATGTCCTGGAGCGTAGCAGCCACCACAAAGTACTCCTGCTTCAGGCGCAGCTCCTTGCCCTCGAAAAACTGCAAACAGGGGATGGCTCACGGAGGGCAGAGGCAGGCGCACAGAGGGGAATCAGACCCGTCACCCCAGACGCCCAAAGCGGCCCAACACACATGCGCCCTCCAGAGGGGGTGGCTTGGCCTTCGGCAGCCAGGTCCTGCCCCGGCATGGGGAAAGGCCCTGTGGAAATGCCGGCCCCCCGCCCCCATGTGCAGATGCTGCAGGCTCTGAGTAAAGCATCAGTGGGCGGGGGCAAGGAGAGACCACTCAGGGGCAGGAACTGTCCTCCAAAGACTGTGCCCCGTGCCGGGTACGCCGCATGTTCAGGGGGGAGCGAGGACCCTCCAGCTGTCTGGAGAGAGCGGGGCATGAGCTCAAGCTGGGCCATGCCTCCCAGGCCCACAGTGGGATTCCACACACCGCACTGCTGCTCCTGCCCCGCTGCTGACCCAGAGCACTACAGCCACAGCCCGGGCAGGACGCCAGCACAGCGAGACCACACGGAGAGCGGAACCCTGGTGTCCTTCACGCGGCGCTCACTCACGTTGTCGTTGGGGTACAGGACTCTGGAGATATTCTCAGCCAGGTTCCTGTCCAGGACGGCCTCCACATAGCCGCCCACGTTGACTGAGAGCAAAGATGAGAGTCAGGGCACCACCCCCGAGGCCTGTCTCGTCTCACAAGACGAGCCATGAACCACACCCCTTCCAGACCCAGGTCACCTGTGAGCTACACCCCTTCCGGGCCCAGGTCGCCCCAAGGAGCTAAACCCCTTCCGGGTCCAGGTCACCCAAGGAGCCATACCCCTTCTGGGGCCAGGTGGCCTCCTCCTGCCTTTCCCCTTTGTTTGTAGTAGCGGGGAGACCCCGGCAGAGGCAGGGATGGGGCAGCACTCACAGTCTTGCAGCTTGAAGTCCTTGGGCGCCTTTGCCGACCACAGCCGCATGGTGTTGACGGTGTTGTTCTTGTAGCCTGGCACCGGGGTGTCATAGGGCATGGCCAGGACCACCTCGAAGGAAGGAGACGGCATAGGCTCATCAGCAAAGGGACGAGCCCTCGGCCACGGCCTCACGTGTGTCACACGACACTGACTCTGCCTGCCCATGGCTCGTCCACCTGCTTGGGCTCTGCCCTCACCAAGCTGGCCAAGCAGCCGCAAGCCCTCCTCGTCTCGCCTACTCTCCTGAGGCAAATGGCCAGGCCTCCCCCCCACCCCCCAGCTGTGAAACCCAGGAAAAGCCAGACAGCCCAACTCTAGCCCTGATGCGATCATGGGCCTGCTGCTACCTGCAGACCCTTGACGCTCTGAGGAGGCTTCTCGCACTCAAACAGGCTGATGTCCATGCAGTCAGACAGCCACACAACGCAGCTCCAGCAGGGAGGCAGCTGGTGCCTGGCAGGGCTGGGTCCCCCCAGCACCGCTGGCTGCGGCCCGCAAACCAACAGAAAATCATGCCCAAGTTGCAGAGCCAACAGCCTCCCAGCACTGCCAGGCTTTTCCCTGTCCTCGCTGCTTGCTCCTGACCTCCCCGCATGGCCCCAATTCACGCCAATGGCAAGCCTCGGTGACATCCCCCACTGGCTGCTCTGGTCAACTGGCACCAGGCGCTTCTCGAATGCCCAGGTCCCAGGCACCTCGCCCCCCCGCCACGTTCACCTTCCAACACCACCAGACTCCCTCCTCTGCACCTGCAAATCCAATGCAACTTAAGGGACATTTAAAAAAAATTATCTGAAGCAATGCGGTTTTAGACACCTGTACCCCTATGTTCACTGCAGCAGCGTGGCAATTGCCAAAATCTGGAATCCACCCAAGTGTCTGAGCACAGAAGATACAAGAGACTAGGGCACATTTACACAGTGGGATACTACTCGGCCGTGAGAAGAGGAGGTGGGCACGTGCGGCTATGCAGATGCACCTGCAGAACCGTGCCGAGTGGACGAGTCGGGGAGAGGGACGACACAGGCCCATCTCTCTCACGTGCAGGACCAAACAAACGTCCACAGACAGCAGAAGCTGGGAGCCAGTCCCCAGCAGGAGGCTTGCACAGGGGGCCACTGGACAGCGAGGAGGAAGTGGGCAGCCCTGGTGACATTTCAGGGCTAGGGCTTTAGGAGGGAAGCACCAAGAGCAACGGCAGCCCTCAGCTCTCAGACCCAACTTACTGCTGAATCTAGACACTCAGGCCAGCGGCTTTTTATATGTAGATAGCAATTTTTTTCAATGGAATCACCATGAGATACACAGTTACAAAGTTAATGATCGGGCTTCAGTCATACAGTGCTCCAACACCCATTCCTCCACCCAAGAACATTTCCCACCGCCCATGTCCCCAGTTTCCTTCCCGCCTGACCGAGGCCCCACTCCTGAGGCCACGATAGCAGGCCCTTCCTCCCTCCTCATGTTACTGTAGGGTCTGTGCGTATCCCTCCACCTCCTCCTTTCGGCACTGCTCTTGTCCAGAGTGACCACTTCCAACTATCACTGTCCACAGTTCACACTGTCTTCTCTGTCCCAACTGCACCCCCTCCACTTGGTGGCAAGCTTCCTACCACGGACTGTCCACCCCCATCCAAAAATGGGGAGAAGAGATGAACAGAAACTTCCACAGAGAAGAAATACAAATGGCCAAAAGGCACGTGAAGAAGTGCTCTGCGTGACCAATCATCAGGGAGATGCGGATCAAAAGGACAACTAGATACCACCTCACGCCAGAGACTGGCACACCTTCAACAAAACAGGGAACAGCCAAGGCTGCCATGGGTGTGGGGAGAGGCCAGCGGCTTCTGGCTGCAGCCACCTGCCCCATCTCGGGGGTCACCTCCTCTGTGCTCACCCTCCCCATATCTTCCTCCGGACAACACACCCATCATAAAGCTGCTCCCACCCCCTCTGACTGTGTGTTCTCTGCTGCTAACCTGAGGGTGCTCTCCACAGCTCTGCCTGTCCTATGCCAGATGGCCCAGGCCAGGGAGATGCCGGGAAACTGCTGCCCCATCCCAGGACCCTGCCCTGACACTGCCCACAGGTCAGCCACAACCGATGCCTCCCGGATCTGACCGCTGGGTGGCGCCATGCCCGGCACGGAGCACGGCCAAGACAAGGGGCCACTGCCCAGGGGAAGCCGAGGCGCGGCCACTTGCCCACTCACTCATGCAGCACCAGTACCTGCGTGTCCAGCCACTGCACGCCATCGGCCGTGTGCTGCACTCGCCCGTAGAAATGCACTGGGATCGTGTACTCAGGCCGGGCCTTCTCCCAGGGGTTCCCGTACCGCAGCCAGTCATCTGCCTCCTCCACCTACAAAAGGACAGCGGGGGCACTGGGGCCGTGGGGTGTCCTGCACCCACCATGCCCACAGGCCGTGAGGGAGATTCCCTGCCCCACACAGAATAGTCAAGACCTTTTGCTCTTCAAGAAATAAACTTGGGGGCTGGAGCAATAGCACAGCGGGTAGGGCGTTTGCCTTGCAAGCAGCCAACCCAGGTTCGATTCCCAGCATCCCAAATGGTCCCCTGAGCTCCACTAGGAGTGATTCCTGAGAGCAGAGCCAGGAGTAACCCCTGAGCATCGGCTGGGTGTGATCCAAAAAGGAAAAAAAAAAAACTTGGATAAAAATCTAGAAAAACAGAGGCCCCTTCCCCCTAAAGACAGTAATAAGCACCAGACAGATGGCACAACTGGGAAAGTGCCTGCCTTGCACGCAGACAACCCAGGTTCAATTCCCGGCACCCCTGGAGTCCCCCAAGTCCTACCAGGAATGATCCCTGAGTGCAGAGTCAGGAGTCAACCTGAGCATGGGGCAGGGAGGGGGGAAGTATGGGCCAAAACCCAAAAAAAAACACCACAACCACAAAAGAACTGTGAAGTCAATCAACAAAATTGATTATTCTATATATTTTTTTGGGGGATTGGGGTACTCTGGGTTTACACCTTGCTCTGTGCTCAGGGATCACTCCTGGGGGCTTAGAGGACGACAGATGATGCCAGGGATCAAACCGAATCAGCCACATGCAGGGCAAGTGCTGTAAGTCCTGTCCTATGGTGCCGGTCCCATGACTGTGACCCTGTTCCCATAGTCACTCCCTGGAGGGGAACTGAGGTGACTGCCTGCACATTCCATGCAGCTCTGGGTCTCCTGCACCTCCCAGCCCCACCGTGTCCTGGGCCCCGACAGTGCTGTCCACACGGAAGCCATCTGCAGCATGCTCTCCCCAAGACTGGAGGGGCTGCTCCAGGGGACAGGTCCCACGGGAAATGGCCTATGTGTTCTCTGGCGATGTTGGAGAAGGGGGTGGAAGGGGCATCCCGGAATCGGGTCCCACCTACCTGCCAACCATTCACGATCTTCTGATTGAAAATCCCAAACTCGTAGCGGATCCCATAGCCATAGGCTGCCAGGCCTAGGGTGGCCATGGAGTCGAGGAAGCAAGCTGAAAGTTCCAGACAGAGGGCGGGGTCAGAGACAGACCAACCTGGAGCCAGGTCATGCAGGCACACTGGGGACATACCAGGCATCCAGCCTCTGGCATGCTGGAGACACAGAGGTGATCCCACTGCACCCTGGCACCCCGGGAGACTGAGTCAACCATCAGCACCTCAGGAGAAAGACCCCCACTGCCGGCTTCCTCTCAGGCCCAAGGCCCCTCCACCACACGAACGCTCCTGCTCGAGATCCCAGTCTCTGGGGCAGGTACCACCATCACACACAGGAGTGAGGAAGGCCAGGTGGTAGGTCACAGATCCAGGCCCTGAAGTCCCCGGGACCCCCAGCAGGAGGCTGGAGCGCTAGTCACCACACCAAGCCCCTAAGCCCAGTGGCTCAGAATGGCATTTGAACGAGGGCCTAGAAGCCCATCTTAGCAAGGCTCAAGGCTCTTTTCCTTCCCATCCAGCAATGCTCAAGGCTTACTCCTGGCTCTGTGCTCATGAGTCACTTCTGACAGCTCTCAAGGGGTCCTATGTGGTGTCGGGGGCTGAACCCGGGAGGGACAGGTGCAGAGCAAAAAATATATATCTTCCCAGATAGGAAACATACTGGACAGCAGCAGATAAAAGAAACAGATCTACAGCCAGCTCCACTGTGCCACCCACTTCATCATGGGCATCCTGCCGACTCTGGCACCACAAACCCAAAATGTCCAGTGAATGGAAAACAGATATGGCCCCAACTGACCTAATAGCCTCAGACCCTGGGTCAGAAGCAGGGGGAGGTGTGTGGATAGAAACGGCTCACAATGCCAGCAGCGGGGCCGGAGAGACGGAGCAGAGAGGCACTTGCCTTGCAGGCAGCTGACCTGGGCTGGAGGGTGGAGAGGCTTCCTTGCTAGGAAAATGAGCTCCACTCTCAGGCTCCTGGACTCTGAGGTTTCAGGGCCACCCTGGGGTGAGGGCACAGGGGACTAAGCTGTGTCACCAGCCAGGGTGGCCCTGCATGGGGCAGGGCTGACTAACATGTGGTGGGGGCATATGCCAGCCATGTTGACTGACTCAGTCACAGCTTGGTGTGACCTCTTTGGGCTCAGTTTTTGGTTAGGGGGGTAACACCTGGCAGTACTCAGGGATCACAGCTGGCAGAGTGAACAGGGCCATGGGATGCCAGGGACAGGACTTGGGCCGAGCTCTATGCCAGCCAAGTGCCCTGCCTGCTGCACTCCGCCCCACCTTCCACCCACCCCCTCTGCAGTTTCCAGAAAAACATGCCATGCCTAAAATTTCTGAACATTTAATTCACATTTTTACTTGATGTATTTTGAGGTGAAGTTGGCTGGGCCCAGATCAGCTTTCAGGGCTTACACTCCCAGCTCTGTACTTAGGGTTCACTTCTGGCAGGGCTTGAGGGACCCTAGGAAGTGCCCTTGAGTGAATCGGAGCGGGCTGCATGCAAGGCCAGCATCTGGGTTTCTGTATAATCTTTTTTTTAAATTTTTATTAGTGAAACACCATGAGTGAAATTACAGTTGTTGTAGACATACAAATGTTTGTGCTTGGGTTTCAGTTATGCAATGATTGAGTACCCATCCCTCCACCAGTGCCCATTCTCCACCTCGGATGCTCCCAGTATCCCCCCACCCTCCCATACCCCAATCCCACCCCACCCCTGTGGCAGGGCATTCCCTTTTGTTTTCGGTTTCTGTATAATCTCACCAAACCTAATTAAGAACTTTTAAAACAAGAGTCGGAGATAGTACAATGGGTAGGGCACTAGCCTGGCACAGGGCTGACCTGGGTTCCATCCCCAGCACCCCATAAGATCCCCCAAGCTCCACCACGATGATCCCTAAGCACTGAGCCAGGAGGAATTCCCGAAAACCATCAGGTGTGGCTCAAAGTCAAAAAGGAATTTTTTCATTTAAAAATTAAATTTTGAAACATCAATACACATACACTCTAAAACAAATTTGGGGCAGTGCTCCTTTACAAAAATGACAACTCTCCAAAGGGACAGTGGGAGGAATGGGGACAGACAGACACACACAGACAAGCAAGCAACAAGCAACGCATCCCTGCAAACCGTGCACGCTTCACTTCTCTGCTGCGGAAACTCCCTGTGCGGAAGCGCCCCCAAAGCTCCCAATGCCAGCTGTCGCTACTTCTGCACTCTTAATCCAGCCCCTTCACCCCAAAAAGGCTAGCAAAAAAAGACAGTCAAAAAAGAATTAAGACAAAGCTGGGTGTGTCCTTAAAGAGGGTGGCTGCAGGAACAGTGCATTATTCTAGGGCTGTGTTGAAAGAGGAGGCGTGCATAGGTGCACTCTGGCTGTGTAGATGCCATCTTTTTCTTTCTCTTCCTTTCAGTTAAAAATGTTTCATGGCAGGGCTCAAGGTATAGTACAATGGGGAGGATGCACTCCTAGCACTACCATTCTGGGTTCCATCCCCACCACCCCTTACGGTCCCCCCACCCCCATGCCCTTGAAGCTGAGCCATGAGCAAGCCCTGAAAACCCTCACAACAAAGAACAACCACCACCTCTGGAGGTGTTACTGAACTGCACACATTTCTGCATCACCTAGAGAGTATCTGTCCCGGGCCAAGTTTCCTGTACCCTTTTGCAGCCTCCCTCCAGTGCCTTTTGTTAGTATGTTGCCAGCACTCCAGACTGTCTAGAATTCTAGTGACACAGCTGCTCCCCGACCCCATCAGCACCCCACCAGCGTGGCCCCACCAGGATCCTTCCCGCAGTGGGACTAGTATCCCCCACACTGCAGCCTGCACCCAGCTTCCACATTATCACCCAGCACTCTGTGAGGTGGGTGTGTGCGTGTTCTCACTGGTTTCTTTCTCCCAGTTTTGGGCTTTGGGCTGAAGGGGGACCATTGTGTGTGTAGCCTTCCCCACCAGGTCCAACACGGGCCATCATGAGGAAGGCCTGGTAGGACGAGAAGACGGGGTCTGTCCCCACGGCTGCAGAGATTCTAAACGAGTAGGAACGCCACCGAGCTCGGCTTCTCCAAGCGCCCTGGATGCCAGGACGGCTCCCCCCGGCCAGGCCGGGTTACCTGCTAGTCTCCCGAGGCCTCCGTTCCCCAGGCCAGCATCCTCCTCGATTTCCTCCAATTCTTCCAAGTCCAATCCCAGCTGTGAACAACAGCACAGGCGACATTTCAGGATTTTCTATAATACCTGCTTTCCAGACACAGGTGGAGAGAGATTTCAATCCTGGGAGCTTATGTAAAAAGGTCAAGTTCACGTCTCTTAGATTTGAAAATCCAACTGTCAAAATCTGGTCACAAATCTGTACATGAAAATGAAGGTTCTCAGGTACTATTAAAAGCTGCCAAGTTCCGAAAAGTTAACAGTGAAGAAACAGGAGAGAAGGCTTTACCAGGGTGAAGACCCTCTCTTGGGATGGATATAGGAGCCTGGTTCGACCCTGACACAATGTGGCAATGCTGCCCAAACAAACGCCAAGCAAGACAATCTGGAATTACTGCCTGAACTCCAAAAGCAATGTTGGAAAGTTTCCCCACAAACAGCCAGGGTTTGGAGGTGGGGAGGCCTAAAACTCACCCAGTGCATCAAGACCAGTTCCAAGTTAAGAAGCACTTTTAACAACAACATCCTCATGAGACAGCTATTACACACAGACACCAGGGTACTAAAGACAAGCTAACACAGTAGAAGATTGGCCCTTAGTCCTCACCTGGGGAGCCAGCACGGGGTCACTCCCTGTGAAAGGAGCTTTAGAGTGAAGACAGTGAAGAGCCTCACAAAAGATGTGATTCACAGACTCTTGTGAATTCACAGATGTGATTCACAAGCTCCCCCTTGGAGAGGAAACTTCAGTGGCTGATTAGCATACTGACAAAGTTGTGGGACCACAGAATCAGACCACACTCCAATTCCAAAAACAAACCCCACACTCATCAGTAGTCACTTCCTACTTCCTCTTCTCTCAGCCCCTGGCAAGCACTCTATTTGCTGCCTCTAAGATTCTGTCAGTTTTGGACATTGGCTATAAATGGGAATACAGACTATGTGGCTTTTTTAATGTCTTCCTTCAATGCACAATAACACTTCAATTTCCTTGAGAAACATCATTGCAGCACATGAGTACCTCATCCCCTTTTATTAACCGAGTATTCCACTGTACGGCTCTGCCACATTTTCTTCATCCATTCATCAACTGGACAACTGAGTTGTTCCCACTTTGGAGCTACGAACAACAGCATAACTTTGAACATACAATTATTTTGTGTAGACTCATGTCTTCACTTTTTCCAGATATAAACCTTAGAGGGTTTTCACAGTAATTCTATGTTTAATTTTTGGACTAAGTACCAGATTAGCCTCCAGACTGGTTTGATCACTTTCCCACCACTGTACATTAAGATTCCAATTTCTCTACATCCTTGCCAACACTTGTTCTAACTTCACCGTGACAGACATTCACAGTAGGAATGTGTTGTGGGAAATGAAATTTCACTGGGGGTCTCTGATATGTATTCCCTGATGATTAATCATGCAGAGTACCTTTTCATAGTTTTATTAGGACCTTCTTTTGAGAAATACCCTTTCAAGTTTTTTTGAAATGGACATCATTTTGGAGATATACCAGAGGCACACACACAAAAAAAAATACACCCAGAAGAAACGGGATAGGAATACCACGCACTTCTCCCAGGCACTGGTTTTGAGAAGTTTTTTGGGTTTTTTTTTGTGTGTGTGAAACACCATGAGGTACAGTTATAGACTTACAAATTTTTGTGCTTGGGTTTCAGTTATACAATGATCAAGTACCCATCCCTCCACCAGTGCCCATTTTCCACCACCAAGGGTCCCAGTATCCCTCCCACCCCCCATCCCTCCCATCCCCCCTGCCTCTGTGGCAGGGCATTCCCTTTTGTTCTCTCTCTGTCTCTCTCTCTGTCTCTCTCTCTCTCTCTGTCTCTCTCTCTGGTTGTTGTGGTTTGCAAGAGAGGCATTGAGTGGCAATCATGTTTGGTCTATAGTCTACTTTCAGCATGCTTCTCCCATCCTGGGAGGATCCTCCCAACACCCTTTATTTGGTGCTCCCTTCTCTATCTGAGCTGCCTTTTCCCCTAGCATGCGCGGCTATCCTCCAAGCCATGGAGCAAAATTCCTGGTACTAATCTCAGCCACTCTTGGGTGTTAGTCTCCTATTTTGTTACTTTATGTTGCCCAGATAAATGCAATCTTTCTATGTCTATCCTGCTCTTTCTGACTCATTTCACTTAACATGATACTTTCCATGTAGTACCACCTATGTAAATTTCATGACTTCATCTTTTCTAACAGCTACATAGTACCCCATTATGTAAATGTACCAATTGAGAAGTGGTTTGGAGTCTGCACAGTGGTTCCGAGAAGCCAACCTAAGCATCACAGTTCAAACCTGGTACTGTACTACAGTGTATGAGCTTTCTCCCCAAGTCTTCTCATCTTTTTGTTTTACCTGTTGGAGGGGGTTGAGGGGTGGGCACCAAGAGGTGCTCAGGAGTATTCCAGACCGTGCTCAGGAATGGGGGTTGGTGGTTCTTAGGGGACTATGCACAGTGCTAGGGACAGGAACCAGGGTGAGTGGATACAGGGAAGAGCCCTTTGGCCCTGCTGGCCAATTCTTCGTGACTTTATTTCAGGCATCGGGATTTACCATTTGCTGATGGGAGGGCTTCATGTATGACCCCTCTCCGAGAGTCAGCTTCCCCGGCCACTGTCCTGGTGCCCCTCCCAGCCTTCCATCTCAGCAGCTTCTGGAGACCTGGTTCCTGTTGCCTCTGGGCATTTGTTTCCCTATACATTTCTTTATATCCCACATATGAACATGTGAAGGAGATCATGCTGTGTCCAGCTCCCTCTGACCACCTTCACTCAGCATGATACTCTCAGACCATCCATGTAGCAGCAGACTGCACAATTTCATCTTTTTCAGCTTTGCTTGTTTTATGGTTTGGCCTGTTTTTTTTCAGTCACTTGCAGCAGTGCTCAGGGCTGACTCCTGGCTCACTGCTCAGGGATCACTCCTAGTGGGCTCAGGGGACCATACGGGCTGCCGGGGATCAAACCTTGGTTGCCGTGTGCAAGGCAAGTGCTCTGCCTGGTGTGCTATTTCTCCAGCCCCTGGATTTCATCTTGCTTTGTTTGTGTGTTTGGGGGGGAAGGGGGAGGTGCACACCTAATGATGTTCAGAGGTTAGCTCTGCACTCAGGAATCATTCCTGGCAGAGTTCAGGACCACAAGGGGTGCCAGGGATCAAACCTGTGTCAGCTGTGTACCAGGAAAGTGCACAACTCTCTGTACTATTGCTCTGGCCCCTGGATCACCTCTTTCTTATAGCAGAGTAGAACTCCATTCTGCATACGTACATACTGTTCCTTTCTCCAGTCATCTGTTCTTGGCACTCAAGTTGTTTCTGGGTTGTGGCTACTGGCAATACTGCTCCCAGCCAACTCTGCTTCTGTTCCTGAGACAAAGGAACACTCCCCCGAAACTCAGCTCCCACTGCTGAGGACAGACCTGACTGCAGCTCGCCACACCCCTCCCGAAAGTCCAGCTCTCAAGGAGATAGACAGGAACTTCTGCTGCCCAGGCCCCAGCACCGTACCTGGTAAACTGCTTCATCGCATGCATTCTGAAGGCCCAGATTCACCATGGTGTTCTGCAGCGTGCGGCCCATGTAGAATTCCAGGGAAAGGTAATAGATGCGCTGAGGAAGCAAAAGGAGACATCTCAGCTCGCTCCTCCATGTCCGCGAGAGGCCAGTTAGAGCAATACCCTAAGTGTACCCTGAAGTGTATCCGTGTTACTACTGTACTTGTCCCAACATCCCCCAAACAGGCTCACCCTCCACCTGCGCCAGTCATCGAAGGTCAGCCCTCCTGGACATCATGTGTATATGTGTATGTGTGTGCGTGTGTGCATGCACAGGAGGGGAGGGGTGCAGAGCCAAGAGCCAAACCTGGAGGTGCTCAGGCCGGGTCCTGGCTCTGTGCTGAGGAGTGACCCCTGGCCGTGCTCAGGCATATGGTGCTGGGGATTGAACCAGGGACAGCCGGACCTGTACGTTCTCTCCAAGCCCTGGAGACCCTTCCAAAACAGAACCTCTGTCCTGACTACCGCCATCCCTGAGCTCTGGAAACACAATCAGAACATTCCCTGCCCATCCATCCGGCAGAAACCAGTCTTTAGCTACTTGTTGGTCGGCCTCTGTGCAAAACTCTGAGGAAATGACAACAACTGCCCCCACGCGTTCTGGGGCTGAGCAGAGTGAGGCACTTCCACAAATGATAGAGGTCACACCCCACACCCTCCAGCAGGCCAAGGACAGGCCTGGGGCAGGGGCAGGGGCAGGACGGAGCTGGCTGGCTCAGTTTTGCTCATACAAGGTTCCATGCTGCCCCCTACTGGTCATCACCAGAAAAACTTAGGACAAAGAAAAGGAGAAGAAACTTTCTTGTTTTTGTTATTTGGGGCACAACTGTTGATGCTCAGGGCTTACTCCTGGCTCTGCACTCAGGAATCTCTCCTGGTGGGCTCAAGGGACCACACGCGGTGCTCGGTATCAAACATGGGTCAGCCAAGTGCAAGGCAAGTGCCTACTGGCTGTACTATGGTTTTCGCCCCAAGGGAAAAGAAATTTTCCTACAGAATTCCAACTGATGCATGTGGAAGAAAGAAAATCTTCCTGAGGTACAACTGCATGATGGGTGGGTGCATCTGTGTGGGCTAGAGAAACATCTGAAGGCCTCAGGATCTCCTCCAAGACTGACTCAGCAATACCCAGGGCAGTACCTGAGCGTTAAGGTGTTTTCCCTGTCTCTGGGCAAAGGTGGTTCTGATCCCTGGCACCTAATGGTCAACTAAGCAAAGTCAGGAATAGTTCCAAGCACTGCCTGGTAGGACCCCAAAACCAACAAAACAAAAAACCCACACAAAACAAATGCCCACAAATCCAAATACACCCACCGCAGAACGCAGAGCTCAGTCCCGAGACTCTCCCCCCAACAAACAGGGTCTGAAAGGGAAGTGTCCAGCTCACCCTGGAAGTGGCCTCTGCCCACCCCAGACAGGCTGGTGTTGTGACAAATGGGGATGTCACCTCTGGCTTTCTTCCCAAAATCCCAAGGGAAAAATTTGACCCATCTTCCTTCCAGAATGGGAGAAGCATGCTGAAAGCAGATTATAGACCAAACATGATTGCCACTCAATGCCTCTTTTGCAAACCACAACACCCAAAAGGAGAGAGAACAGAGGAGAATGCCCTGCCACAGAGGCAGGGTGGGATGGGGGGATGGGGGGTGGGAGGGATACTGGGACCCATGGTGGTGGGAAATGAGCACTGGGTGGAGGGATGGGTATTTGATCATTGTATAATTGAAACCCAAGCACAAAATTTGTAAGTCTATAACTGTACCTCATGGTGTCTCACTAATAAAAATAAATAAATAAATAAAATTTTTAAAAAATTTGACCCATCTACACTAAGGACTGTTTAGGGAGTGTCTCATCAGTGTCTCCATGGAAGGCAAAGAGAGATCTGCCAACTGCCCCAGACAATTAGGAGACACAGTGACGAAACATAACTAGGGTTCTGGCTAGACCCAGGGTTGGAGAAAGAACACTCAAGGGAAAATGGGTAAAATCTAAAGTGCATGCTGGGTTAGCAGCAACTTCTCCATCCTGGTCACTGCTCTGGTTACCGGACAACAGGATGCCAACGTTACAGCAGTAAGACTGCAGGACACACGGGCACTCATCTCTATCTCTGCAGCCCTCTAGAAATCTAACACTCTTCTAAATGAAAAGTTAAAATAAATAAATAAAACCAGTCCCAAGATAGAACACATAGACTGTATGGCTGAGGGTCTGATTCCCAGCACCAAAACTGCAAACCAGCCAGGTTATCTCCCTGTGATTGCCAGGCCCTGTCAGCAGAGCTGGGCTCGGCATTCAAGATCCCCAAGCACTGCAGCCTGAATAGGGACTGAAGCACCCTGCAGGGTGCTGGGCTGAGTCTCACTGGGAGTGGCCCCAGGACCCCTGGACACAGTTTGGGAAGGTCAACAAAAATGAAGAAATTTGTCTTATACATATATATATATACACACACATATATTTATAGTTCCTGGAGCTAGGGATAGTACAGCAGGTAAGGAGCTTGCCTCACACACACAGTCTACCCAGGGTCCATTCCCAGCAACCCCATGGTCCCCTGAGAATCAGGAGTAATTTCTGAGTGCAAAGCCAGAGAATCACTGAGCATCACTGGGTGTATTCCAAAAACCAAAAAAGATAGTCTCATGCCTATGTGGTTCCCAGACCATACCCGTGTCACCAACACCCACGTCCCTCCACCAGTGTCCCAAGAGCCCTCTGCCACCCACCCGGCACACCCTCGTAGCTCCCCAGGCAGTTTCCAGGCCCCATGATATGGCCATCTGTTGTTCCCTTACTATGTCTCTTTATCCTGTAGGAGAGATTTTTCTTTAATTTATTGTGGAGGTGGTGACATCACACATACATCCATGAATGTAAACACATATAAACTCCTGAAATCCCACGGAATTGTAAATCAGTGGCACATTGGGGGGAAAAAGCTTTTTCAGAAACTGTGTGTCTTTCTCTTTCTACAAGTATATACATTTAGAAAACTAATCATATGAATACATCTATACTAATACATTTTAAAATTAACACAATATAGACATCCCACAAATAAACAATAAGAATGAAGAGAATTAAGAAAATTTTAAAGGAAAATCAGAATAGGCCTGTCAAAGTGTAAAGGCGTGTTTAGTTCACAAAGTAATTTTTAAAACCACCCTGGGAGCAGCTCAAAGGGCAGGGGAGCCCTAGAGGAATCCCGGAGCAGGGCCAGGAGTGCTCAGAGCACAGAACCAGGAGTCTCAGCCCAGCACCAGTGGATAGGCCCCAACAAATCCATCACACACACACACACACGCACAGACACACACACATGCACACACACATGCACGTGCACACACACGCACACACGTGCACACACATGCACACACACAAACACATGCACACACATGCACACACACACAGAGGTATGCACACAGGCTGTATCTCCTGTGTGCATACCTGGTTTTCCTGAAAACCAGGAAGGGGCTGTATCTCCAGGGTGTCTACATGGCATCTTCCCTGCTCTCGACACAGATAACTGGGCTGGAAGAATCCCCACTGGACTGCAAGCCGGAACTCAGGATCAATATGCTGGAAAGAAAACCAGAACTGGGAAACCCACTGGGCCAAGAACACCGGCATTCACCAAGGGGCTAATGAGATTTACAGGTAAGACTCGACCAAGAAACCAAAGAAGGCTGTAAGGTAACAGACTGACTCAAGCAAGGCAGGCAGGAAGGGAGGCCAGCCTGCAGGGCCCTGAGCTTCGCCTGGAGCCTCTTGGCACAGAACCAGGAGGAACCCTGAGCAGAGCCAGATGTGGCCCCAAAACAAAAACCCAAAATCACAAAAGAGAGAAAACAAGACCCCGGCAAAAGAGACATCAAGTGAATGTAAAACAGGGCAAAGCCGAAGAAAAAACCAGGTATGAAGAGTGGGCAAAATACAGAACAGGAAAGAAGCGGAGAGAAAAAGCACAGACAGACACAGCAAACAAAGGGACAAGTCCGTCCCTGCGGAAACCAAGTGGAATGTTACAAATATTTCCAGTGTGGGCTGGAGCAACAGTACAGTGAGCGAGGTGCTTGGCCCTGCATACAAACAACTAGGGCCCAATCCCCACCACCCTATGGTCCCCCAAGTTCACAAGGAGTGAGCCCCGTGAGCAGAGCCGGGAGTGAGCCCTGAGCACTGCCAAGTGTGACCCAAAAAAGAAAAAAAATTCCAATATGTAAAGGACTTTTGATGTATATTTAAATATACAAGAAAGAAGTGGCATACATACAAAAAAACAAAGTCTTGTGAAACTCAATCTTTGATGCCACCGACCACTTTTTTGATCATCTGATTGCTTCCAAATTGTATCCAGACCCCAGTGTCCTCTAAACTGCACACCGCAGTGCCAAGAAGGTCCCCTGCAGCCAGCCAGCCAGCCAGCCGGGACGCTACTCAAACCAACTCAGGTGCCGGGCACCACGCAGTCGTCACAGCACTGCTGCCCGCCGCCCGCACAGAGGCCAAGTGAAGCCTGGCCAGGCGCCAACATGCTGGCCAGGTCCAGCATGGCCTCCCCCCTCCCTGAGCACATGAAGGCCCCCATCTCCCCTGAGACCTCCCGAGTTCTCCCCAAAGTAGGTCTGGGGGGTGGGTGGAGGGAGAGCTGGCAGGCAGGAATATGACTGAATTTCTCCGTGTTTTTAGACTGGCATAGCTGAGCATTTCTGCTGGCTTCTATCTTTCAACCAGCACTTTGGGGAAGAGAAGCCTGGCAGTGGCGGAGGCAGGGGCGGGCACACTGTGGGAAGAGCCGGGCGGGGCACTGCCCGCAGGAGGCTCCCGTTAACAGTGCTTCAATCATGGTGCCCCAATAAACCTTTTTTTTTTTTGCTTTTTGGGTCACACCCGACGATGCACAGGGGTTACTCCTGGCTCTGCACTCAGAAATCACCCCTAGCGGTGCTTGGGGGGACCATATGGGATGCTGAGAATCGAACCCGGGTTGGCTGCGTGCAAGGCAAACACCCTACCCGCTGTGCTATCACTCCAGCCCCTAAATCTTTT